GTATTGTGAGAATATAATTGCGATCTTTATATTCAGCAGAGCTCATTCCATAGGAGTTCAGATGGAAACAAACATGCGCCTGTCTGTATCAGATACAGATATGGATTGAAGAAGAAAGTTTTTGCCAATGCCAAGTTATTGCCCTTTCGCGAGCCCATCGAATCTCTTGTGTACTTGACGACATTTACTACACCAGATCTTGCCTTTTCTGCTGGACAGGTAAGCCACTATGTGCAATGACCAACGCAGTAGCATATTGGTGCTGCATAATGGGGACGTATGTACTTCATTATTGCAAAGTATTACGGAACTGTGTACTCACAAAACAAGACAGCAAAACAACGACAAAGCCTAGTTATTGATGGCCACTGTGACTCTGATTAGGGTAGCGACCCCGATTTGCGTAAGCATATCAGTGGTTTCGTTCACTTCCTTTCTGGAGGAGAGATCTCGTGAGCGTCTAGACCACAGAAGATTGTGTTGCAATCAACTGCCGAGTCAGAATATGACGCCGCGTGCGAAGCCTGTATGAAAGGCCAGTGACTCCGAAACGTCCTCATTTAAGCATTCTGAAGTGAAAACAAGGTAAGCATGAGTGGTAAAAATCAAGCTGCCATCGTAATGGCAATGAATCCCCCCTTTTAGCCGTAGAACAAGGCGTATCGAACTCCGCTGGCAATACGTCCGAGACCAAATGGCGAAGAAACGTGTAAATTGTGGAAGGTAAAGAAAGACCAATGACGACCCGATAGACATTATGACGAAATAGTTTGCAGCGACAGACTCAACAAGTTATTCGCATCAAACATTTGACAAAGAAGTATCTATCTTAAGAAATGTACTAACTTTAGAGGAAATCGTGTTGGAAACCGAGTACAAGGGTTGGACCATCGGGACGACGAAGCATGGTGATATCGGTGATTAGCGAAGGAGGAAAGCGCGACAAGACGGATATCTAGACAGAAGAAGCGAGACAAGACGCACAGAAAGATGCTGCGCGACTAGTCACAGTGTTAAATCGGCAAGAAATTAATACATTTAGCTGTCAGTCCTGAATCTGCCTTAACATCAACAAGTTGTTTGTAAAAGCGTCCGTGTGCGAATTCCCTTACGAACCTCATCCAACCTGGAGTAAAACGACAATATCATACAGTACGAACAACCGCCTACTAGTCTGGCATGGAACGAAGTATGTTAAACTGGAATCAAACCTGTGTAACCTGCAAATGAGCCAAGTTGCGTGATGGGCCGCAAACTTCAGCATATCGCCTCCACGTGATCTTCGCACTATCCCCATTGATGTAGTTTACGTGGACACCTCGGGACCATGTGGTAACGATCGCAACTGCGCCTAAACAATGGTCGACGAGGCTGCACATTGGCTTTATGGGTTCATTTAACCAGGCAACAAGGGTCTTACAACAGCAGAAACTTTTGACGCAACACGGATGTGCCGATATATAAAGACCAAGAACTGTCGTTTTCGATCGTGGAAATGAATTCAACACACGAGAGTATATTGAGATGCCAAAGAGCTACGCAATCAAGGCAAGACCCAGCCTCAAGCAAATGCAATGTGTGAGCAACGTCATCTTAATTTTGACAATTGCATTCGTTGCAATGATGGAGCATATTGGCGAAAAGTTATCCAGTATGCGGCCTCAGCGGTAAGAGTGCGCTATCACAGCATTTTCGTCACCATTCCAGCCCGTCTGAATATTGGGTACCTTACACGGCAACAACATGAAGGAAATGAAGTTATATCACCAAATGGAGATTTGACGTCAACGTGCGTGACAACGACTGCGACAATTTATTGCTCGGAGCCTTTTTACAACGTCGGTGACCATGTCACGATTCAAATTGCAGCGAAAGACCGCAATGCCAAGCATCAGGCCGTGTCTTCTAGGACAGTGCAATTACCAAGGTACGCATCAATGGCATTCCAACACTCGGTTGTGGAGCGAGCAGTGACGCAGCGCGTGAACATTCGACGATTATTTCCCTGCTAGCAGCAACTAGCTTGGGGGTTGTGACACGCGCTACTGATAACGCCTGTTGTATGCAACTTTTCGTTGACTCGAATGACGTCGTGCGGTCATCCGATGTGTTTCGTATCGCAATGTGCATCTAATGGAACGGTCTTCCCATACGCCACTCCCAGATTCTAGCCATGTTCAAGGACGACCTGTCCCGTGCGAGAGAAGGAGTAGCATAGCAAGATAACCGACATTAATTAGACATCAACCCTCTTCCCACTTTATACCAAGTTACTAAGCGGTCCCTCTACCAAGCGGTCCCTCTACCATCTACGAGCCCTCTGCGAGCCAAGGGCTGTCAACATGAATGAGGGATTTGACCAGTTGCGCTTCTGTTTGCTCTCGAACGCGACCGATTGATCGGATAGCGCAGACGGCGTGTGTGCTGTCCAAAGATGCAGTGATGCCACGGTTTTTTGTGCCTTGTGAGGAATGGACGTGCGAGCAATGGCGTCTATCAATTTGCTTCGAGTCATTCGGGCGAGCGTCTACGTGTCGTAGCAGTCGCCTCACTTCGTCACATCGCCCGTGATGGAATCAGTATGAAGGTTCAAGCATGATGAAGCTATGGTCAAGTTCTTGTGCTCTCGGTCGTTCATGTTGGCTAGTGAAGAGGAAAACAGTGGTCCGAAGCTGTCGTACCACAACGGCTATACCTTGAATCTCGCTAAATCGCCGCTTCGACACTCTTCAGTTACCGGCAAGCGTTCGCGCCTGCACAAGCAGCAGCTAATCCTCGTGACTCTGGACGTGCTACGTGCTGCATAGTTGACGCGCTATCTGCTTGGCGAATGTTTACGATGCGCACGAGCCGTGTGTCGTGTTTGACGACGGTGCAGAGGCGATGGAGGTCTGTCGAGTGTGCCGACCTACTACGCCTTCAAGTCTACTATGGCGCACGACGAAGTGGCGGACTTTGTGACTCAAGCTAATGTGGAGGTAATGCATCAAAGTGACGCCATCCTGAACAAAGTGATGATGTGAATTGCAGATACGTCCATCTCCAGTCGAAATGTCCTGTAGACAGCAGGAATGCTCTTTTGCCATCGGATGAGTGTAACAGATCCCGCAGAGTCCATTGCTTTCATTCAGCAGCAGTTCCTGTAGATTCTTCGGTGCTGACAGCAAATTCGGTGTCCAGAGAGTATCGATCTGGCGTCCGAAGGGCCATGCCGATTGCCGTTAGCGAAAAACGCCTTGTAGCGCGACCAGTGTCGGTAGGACCGAGCGTATCAAATGAGTGGACGATCGGAGCTCCTCCGCGGATGACCCTCTACTCACTCGAGTTATAGTGGTCTGCACGCGCTTAAACGATCCTTCGATCGACGTCTTCCGATTCCATGTCTCACAACGTTTGCGTGTCCGCCTTCGTTCTTGCTCTCACGAGTCTATGATTGTACCCGCCGCTTTTGTCACAGGAAGGAGACCCAAAACGGTCGAGGCTAGACGAGGCTGAAGCCAACCGTATGCTCGGTGCCGGATCATGAGTCAAGCAGGAATGTGCCAGTCGCCAAGCGAACGAGTGTCCCAGCACGCAGTATATTCACTCCAGCTCGCGTTTGCATACAGCGACCGTAGCGTGTCTATACCACTCACACACATTGATGTCATTCGAAAGTTGTTGCACGTTCGGGTCCAATGATCGATCACTTGCAACGGCCGAAACTTATATGATCCATTGGTGACCTCGTCGTGTGGTGTGAACATGGACGTTATTGTCGACGGTCGCAGTAACTCGTGTGCAGCTAAAAAATTACGCTTCCGCCGTTGTGTCTATGTGATGCTGCTCTCCTTTCTACAGAGCCAAGAAGGCTTGGGGTCCCCAACGTCGCCACGATCGTCCCTGATCTTCATGTCGCGTCATGACGAGCTCGCACGCACGCACGTACTCATCATTCCGCCTGTTTACCTGTCACGTGTCGCCTCGACGGTCGCTGCCCCGTTCCTGTCGGGTCAAGTGCACAAAGTCGCTGACTTTTTTCGCGACGAGCTCTAGGATCGCAAGTTGAAGTGCACGTTGAAGTGAGAGCGATGCCTTGCAGTGTCGGATCCATTGACCGACAGACCCCTACTGGACCACGCGAAAGAAACGAAAGCATACGCACATACACATGATACACACACGGCTCGTTCTTCTTCTTCTTCGTTCCGATTGCACTAACCCTTCGCGATGCGTTACGTAGACACGGACGGACACACAGTCTCATTCCCATAAATGCGCATCGTCAGCCTCTATCGCTACAGAAACGGCCGCTTCAACGAAACACAACGTCGACAAACAACTGCGCCCAGCGCCATACAAAACCTCCATGTCCGCACTTGCTGCCCTAGGGGTCGGGCTCGCGTCCTCGACGTCACTAAAACAGACGCGTCGACGCAGCCACTTCGACGTGAGGGGTCGAAACGACGCCGATGCGCGCTCCCTTTTTCTCCCCACGCACGCCACGTGATTGGACCGACCGCACACCGGCCCAAGCGACACACGCTGCCGTCCGGATCTTTCTCTGTCCCCTCTCTCTCTCTCTCTCTCTCACTCACTCGCTGCCTCGAGGCAGATCGATCCAGTCAGTCGTCGGAAAAGAGGCAGAAAAAACCCCGTGACACGCGGGCCAACGGCTGGCGTTGTTTACTCCGCTCCACTACGAGCGACCGACCACACACACGCGATGCCAAACGAAATGTAGCCACGTCTATGGACCCGCCCCCCTCGTGTGGTTTCCAGCTCAAACTAGACCGCCCCAACCTACAAACGCGCCCCAACCTACAAACGCGCCCCACACACCCACACCCACACACAAACGCACACACGCACTTACTCCGTCCGTCCGTCAGCATACGCCTCGCTCGGCTCACCCCACGACCGCACAGCTCCACCCGCGCGTGCTGCGCTGTGCCCCGTGTCGCAAGTCGCCGGTCCGCGTGGCTGTCTCTCGAGCGCCCCACAAGGGCCGTCTGTCCAGGATGGGCTTCCCCCTCGAGCGCGCGCCGCCCGTTGCGTCGAGTCCGCTGTACCAGGCGGTGTCGACGCCCAGTCGCAGCAGCACGCAGGACCGCGACGTGGGGCTGCCCGACGACGTTCTGCGCAGTCGGAGCCACTCGCACGCGCTGTCGGCGATCCTCGGAGCCAATGGCCGCGTGTCGACGCCCTCGCCGTCCGTCGTGAACTCGATGGACCGGCGCGTCTCGAGCCACCAGCTGCTGCCCGTGGCGGGCGGTGGCTCGACGACGACGCCGCTGCAGCAGACGGTCGACGAACGAGACGAGAAGACGGACGCGCCGGCTGGTCGCGTGCCGGCGCGCTGGAGACGGCAGCGACGGCGGTGGAAGCGCGTGTGCTTTTGGGCGGGCGCTTTCGTGGTCTTTGCCGGGTGCTTTGCACTGAGCTTTGCAGTGCCAGAGCCACTGGAGACGCTGGCGCCGATTGTCGCTGGCGCTGGCCTGAGTCTCGTATCGACGCTCATGGTGCTCGTGTCGTTTGTAAGGAGACGGCGGCTGCGACGGAAACCCAATGAGCTGCTGGCGTTTGTAGCGCTGAGTGAGTTTGGACTCGCAGTGCTTACGATCACGCACGTGCTTTCGCTGTGCAGTGCCGAGACGGGCGAGTGTCGTCCCATGGCGTTCACGACTTGTACGGTTGCAGCGAGCCTCGAGATGTTTTTGCTGCTCGCTGGTGTGGGATGGTTTGGTGCTGCGATTTTGCACCTCTTTGTGTCAATGTCGAACCCCTTTGCGAGCTACAAGAGGCAGCTGGTGCTCTACCATGTGGTCGTGTGGGGACTCTCGTTGATTGCGTGCATTGTGGCACCTCTGGTGCTGTTTTCGAACCACGTGGAGAGCAGATTCCAACTCACAGACGCGCAAATATGCCGAACAGTAGCACTGATACTGCCTTTGCTTCCGCCGGACGCTGGAGACTCGATGGAGAGCAGGACACGGAGGCTGGCGCAATGGCAGGAGCTCAATCTGAAGTATTGGGGCATTTTGATCGCGGTCGTGGTCTTTGTTGTTGTTGCCGCACAACTGGGTCTTATCGTTGGCTGGTGGCGATCAAACAGCGGCACGATTATTGCACTGAAAGCTCGCCGTCGTCTTATGAAACGCATGGCGGTCTATGCCCATGCTCTTAACGCTATGTGGCTCGTGGTGTTGGTGGTCTTTTTCGTCTACCGATCCAATTACAAGGCACTTACTTACGTCCAAGTGGAAGGTTCGCCAGAGAATGTGGATAAAGGAACGAACTTTATCAACGCGTTATTCCGCTTTGTCCTTACCGCCAAGGGGTTTATAACTGGTGTCGTGTGGCTCAGTGTGAACAAACCCTGTTGTGCGCTTGGACTTGCGTCTTGTGGCTTGCACCAGTGCAGAGATGACGAGGAGAGCCCAGTGTTGGCACAGTCCGCGTCAAGTTTGTCGCGGTCAGCGTCATTGACATCATCTCACGGGGAAGTCGGGAGCCAGAGAGAGAACCTGTTGTCGAATACAGTGATGTCCATGGAGGCGGGTGTGATGGTGCAGCGTGGAGCCACGTTGCTGAGATCGGGTACGCTGACTGACGAAGCTCATGAAAGTATGCCCGAAAGTACCGCAGCAGTAAGGCATCGAGAGAATGACCCGTTGCCATCAGCGTCACCGGAGGTCGACCATCCGTTAACAGGTAGATCCAGCCGCTCGTTGTCGTCTTCGTACGCTGCTTCGACCATGGAGTCGTACGAGGCGTCACAGAACAACGAGACACTCCAGCGCGAGATTATTTATTATACGGTGTGTGGAATCACCAAGGCCATCATCCGCTCGGCTGAGCGTGCGAAAGCGACGGCTTTCGTGACTGGCAATGCAGGGACTGCACTTGGAGAGAGTAAGGTTGCCGGTGCTGTTTCGAGAGATCGAGAAGGTGGCGTGGTCGAAACAACACTGTTTGTGGGCGCTGAACAGGACTCGGCACTGGTCAACAGCTCTTTTATCTCCCACGTGCAAAGGGTGACTATTCTATCGTCGCCTCGATCGTATTGTGAACCATGTGCCTTGCTGCCCGTCGCGTCTATCTGCCGTTCGGTAGCTGGATTTGACAGCGATGGTCGTCGTCAGCGTCCACGTCCGACTTCATTCACTGCAACGTCAAGCTCAGAATACCGAGGTAAATGGCGCCAGCCACTTCAGCTTCGGCACAGTCGGAGTCAAGGAAGTCGGCAAACTACCCGATTTGATGCCAGTCTTCGTTCGCATAGCCAAGCTGCGGGAAGGTTTTCTTTGTACCCGGTGTCCCAAGTTCCGTTTGAGTTATTTGAGCAAGAGATAGAACTGCAGAGCACAAGATCTTCCGTCGACGAAGCCGTGACAGAAGGTAAATCGACCCGAGCGACAATGTTTGCCGGTATACGCCGCACAGCTACATCAGCGTTCAGCCAGGGACGAGGTGTGTTCCGTAGTCGCAGTGAAAGTGTTGAAGCTTCCTTTACCGCAGCTTCCACGAACAGCGGTGTGGGGCGTGAGTTTTTACCGGACGATCCGAAGCCAAAGGTATTTGTGGACTATGCGCCCCGTGAGTTTCGAGCCATTCGGTTGGCATTTGGACTCTCGGACGAGAAATATCTGGCCAGCTTTCGAACGACGGCCAAAGAGCGCGTAAGTGCTGGTTCAAGTGGTGCGTTCATGTTCTTTTCAGGGGACAATTCGTTGCTCGTAAAGAGTCTCAAGGAGAAAGAGTGCCGTGCTCTGGTGGACATGGCCCCCGAATATGCGCGCTATTTAACCGCAAACCCGCATTCGAGGCTTATCCGCTTCTTCGGCTGCCACCGTGTGCGTCTCTATGGCCGCAACTTTTATTTCGCTGTCATGTCGAACGTATTGCACCATGAACACCACACTGCTACGATTATAGAAAAGTACGACGTCAAGGGATCATGGATAGACCGCCGGGCGCGTCGACCACAGCGCGGCGATCGAGTAACGTGCGCGGAATGTGACGCAACGTACGTGTTTGGAGGCAGCGACGAAGACGGCAATATGGTGAGCACTGCGTTGGATTCGAATGACGGGAGTGCATCAGGATTGGAAGACTGTGCGCAGTTCCCGTTCCACGTGCACCGACCCGACGTCGTGCTCAAGGATTTGGACTTGGAACGCTCATTGCAACTACCTCAGTCTATTGCAGCTCATCTGCACGCTCAGATCGTGTCCGACAGTGGCTTTCTGCGAGATATTGGAATTATGGACTATTCGCTACTCATTGGTGTCCACAAGTGTCATCTGCGCGCTCCACGTCCAGGGTACGTGAATGGATTTGTCGGAGCACCGTCGGATATTGTCGAAGCGTCGAATCACACGCTGAACATCGAAGGTCCCAACAGTGGCGCGAACCTGGCTCCACTTGGAACGGACGAGGTCTACTTCGTTGGTATCATCGACATTCTCCAGCAATGGGACTGGGAAAAGCAGTTTGAAAAAGCTGGCAAGGTGCTGTTGGGCAAGTCAGCTCGAGGAATCTCAGCTGTTGCACCCGCAGCGTACTGCCGTCGATTCCAAGCACGTTGTAGTCAAATTTTACTCGGCGGTCCAGCTTCCGAAGACATGGATCTCGACTGGGAGGCAGATACGAATGCCGTGAGTTTGAAAGAGACCAAGTCGCGGTCGAACTCGAAGGAGGCTGCGGAGATTGATATGGCCAACTACATAAGTGAGAAAGCATGATGCTTTCCAGCAATCGAGTAGGTCAAGTGAAGTCCTACTCCAGTATATTAGACCTTAGGTTGTCCTGACTCCGAGCGTGACTTTTCTTTGCCGTGAATCGATGTTTACGGCAGCGCAGTGCGTGCTCGCTGAGCAAAGTCATCGTATGCCGGTGCAACACGTACAAATATGCGCTTGCTATCACCACGCAACCACACCACAGCCAAAGTTGTGGCGTTGTTGCGTAAATTTATAAATCCAGGCGTGCACTTGATGCCTTTTTTCCGTCAAAGCAGTGCGGTCGACGTCTTGGTGAACGTCTCGGCAATGAACTCGTGATGACCTAGTCTAGACCATCGTGTTTGTGGACGTCGTCCGTATCAAATACCGGAACAAGACATCCGAATGGATTTGGTAGCTCTAATATGTCAAACTCAGCGCTAACGTACGATCTGAACTCGGTATTGCTGTCAGCATTGTACTAGCGGTGACTGCTACTGTTGGGAGAAACGACTCATACGATGGACTTTCGTTTCCGTGGAGATAGCGGTTGTTCCTCAACGTCGTCGGCTTTATTGAGCGGTATGGGTGCGATTTATGGTAACCCACGAAACGCAAACACTTCGCCCGATGCTATGGTTGAGGCTATGATTCTACAGCTTCAGCGTCCAAACTTACACCTTTTGCGTGCGATGCTGCTTCGCGACCCGATATGGCAGTCACGGGCGCAATGGCTATTAGCAAATGTCGAGCGTCTACATCGGACGAAAGAGCTTTTGTACAGCACGTGTGCCATCAATGCATCGCTTACAGCTCCGCATCCAAAGGGGTCTCTCACGCTGGTAGCCAGCTGCTCGACAATCTGATAGAGATGCGAGCAAGTGGCATGTTACGCAATGTCGGGAGAAGTCGGTCTGCAACATGGTAAATATTCGGAACGGAAGAGATCAAGTTGCCGTTGGTGGTGTTGTGTGAACGACCGCAGGTGCCACGCTTTTGGCCAAGTGGGAGTTTATCCTGTGCATAAGAAGCATTCATGAAGCATTTGCAGGTGATGTCGCTTCGTTGAGATGCACAAGCAACGATTATGATCGAGAAGGCCGCTTTGCTCGCGCTCTACGGCCTGCAAAGAAGTATCTGCCTGTTTCTGACGATTGCTAGAGGCCCATGGAAGTATTTATGCACCAAAGTGTCGTTGAAAGACGTGTCGAGGCTATCAGCACCTCAAGATGACACAATCATAGCTACTTGTCTCAACACGACAACGAACATGCACGAAACATGTTCACAACTACAACTTGTACGTCAACTCGAAGCGCTCGTTACTACTCCACATGTACCGTGTTTTTGGTCACTGGACCTCCAGACCGTTTTTCTAAACGCGCCGCTGCACGTTTCTATCGCAGTCGACCAATCACGTCGCCGGATTGCTGAACCGCTGCTCGGTTAAGCCGACGCCGGTCCAGTCTCGAACGCACCACCATCCATTATTTTCCAGCAAAACAAACGCTCTCGTGACAGTCCATGTCAGCCATATCGGTATTTGGGACCTCGGCCTCTTGTCCCTCAGCCGTAGCCGCTGCGTCTGTGTGCCGTCGATTCGATGGAGGAATGTGATGATTCGAACATCATGAATGTCGCCGCCCCAGGCTGAAAACCACGTGTTGAGTACTTCAACGCACATTGAATAACAGCTTTGTGCATGAACATTCCCGGCCAAGAGTAGGTAGAGTCTAGAGTCTGTCTGTTTGTTTATTTGTTTGTTGTTGATGGTGCGGAGCCTACTACTGTACGGTAGTGCTACTGTTGCTGTGCTTTCTGGATCGAGTGTAATGAGGACAACAATCAACCCAGCTCGCTTCGAGTCATTAACGATGAAGAGAACTGTTTCCGAGGGGTCACTCCCTCTTGACTGATCACTCCAAGAAAGAAGTCGATGGTGTGTAGAGTAGGAACTGTACCCGGATGTGAGTGAAGGGCGCAGGCTACGGAGGATGACTTGTGTGTGTGTGTGTTACTGTCTGCGAGTACACGTCTGTATGATGATGACTCAAACTTATCCCTGTCCGACGAGTGGAACGCATTCCCTCGAACGTGACGAGAACCAAGCGTAACTTTTCAACTTTTTGGCTGAATACGACTCTCCACTCGCTTTGCTGTATCCAAGCAGATAGATAGATAGATAGATAGATAGTCGGTTGTCTTTTGTATCGAGAGGAGTGGAATGAGGAACACTACAGGTGAGAGTGCGGCTTCTGTTTTAGAAAGCTGCGCTCGCAATCAAAAGATCCAGTTGACTTCATAGTTATCTGACCGCCCTCTGTTGACATGCTGGAGTAGATGTTAGTCGACGTCGCGCGACTTGCCCACGACGCGTTTGTGTTGGCTTACCTGTCTTTCATGTCGGTAGAGTCGAAGGTCAGCTCACAAATGTCCTAAATGTGGGACCTGTCAATTTGTACGCATTCGTGTCGCGTCTGCCGTCTAACGGCAGGCCGAGAAAGCATCAGCTATAGTGCACCCACAGCGTACTGAGCGTACCGCTCACTTCCTTTTGCTGTTGCACACGACTCCTTTTGTTGTAGACTTTGCGTGCTCGACGATCGAAATGACTGGTTAACGCACGTTCGTGAAGGGAAAACAAATGGTGTGTTGCCCTGTTCGATACCACGTTCCTACTTCGTGTCGTATTCTGCAAGGCTCGGCGTAGGCCGAGTGATCGATCAATGTTTTCTTAGCGTTGAGTTGTGCAAGTTTCATGGCCCAGTAGGTGTCGTTCATGCAGATGTTGCTATTGAGGTGTTTGTTTGCGTTGTCACAAGTTGTGGTCACGTACCATTCGTTACCTGCTACTTCGTCTGAAAGGGGGAACGACGGGATGGCAGTGTCGGTCGTTACGGAGCCTTTGCAATATTGCCAGGTCGTGAGATGACTCGCACGCGTGCGTTTGTTTGTCCATCGACTCTCAGGTTGACTGGTAATGGGCCAAGTGCTTTTGGAGGAAGTGGTGTAGGAAGTTCGAGATCGTGACTTCTGCAGGCAGGAAATATTGACCCCACGCTCTGAGCGTAGTCGGAATTCGGATTCTCGTTACTGGGTTATACCTTCGAAGTCAGAGCTCAGACCTCCTCAGCTCGTCAGAGTATGCTACAGGTCTCTAGCGAGGAGGTATGCGATGCGAACACACATAAGAACAGCACACTATCTTTACTCGGCACGTGACTTGGGAGATTCCAGCAAATGCGTCACCTTTCGATTATCAGCATATGACCGAGAGCTGAAGTTCTCGTTGACTACCCACGCGACTTCTTCGATTGAGCTGAACCAGCCGTGCTGAGCGAAGTGACAGACGTCTTCCGTGCACTGCAAAAACGTTGCAAACGCAACCGGTGCTGCCCTTCCCAATCCATGCTAGAGTGAACACGACAGCCCAGTCCACCGCTGACTGCATCACCAAAAACAACGTCTCCATTGCACAGCAAGTCACTCGTCACTACTCTCGCAGGCGAGTCACTCGATACATTCTGATAGCAAAACCTGTGAGGAAGCAGCTGAATCAGTCGATCGTCTTAGCGACCCGTAAACTGCTCGAACATGCGCTCTAGTGACATCTCACTGACGCTGTACTGCAAAACGTTGAAGGCCTGCTTGTTCGCTTCCATGAGAGCAAACACATCTGCCAGCCCGAACGCGTCCGTGCATGATGTCTCGTACACTCTGCTGGTGTTGTTCCCACTTCCACGGGCACTCTCGATGGCTGCAATCGTCACAGGCTCGCCGGATCGAGAGGTGAACTCGCCAGTAAAGAGTTGCGACTCAAGGCGGACGAACGCTTCTTGCACAAGCCATTCTTGTACAAACTCAACGATGGGGACAACTGGCAGCGCCTCGACGTCGACAGCTGGTTTCGACACGTTTCGCGGTCTATTCGCTTCCGATCCAAAACGAGCGCGTAGACCTGCTAGCCAAATCTTGCCGCGCTGGCGAGATCGCGTCGATGCAGCGTCATGATCCTTGTACATGAGACCGTGGCAGAGTTCCCAGATTTCATTGACTTCTCCCAGCGAAAGGCTGCTGCGTTTCGACTCCTTCTGACAAGAGCCTGTAGGCGTCTTCGACTGAAGCGAGCGACAGATCTCCTCCGTGTAGTGCTTCACCAGTCCGGAATTCCAGATAGCCGGGCTGTCCAGTCGCACGCTGATCGATATGCCTCGCGACACGCGCTGCTTCAAGTCTGGAATACTGCCGCACCATACTGTCTTGCCTTTGAGCAGCACCACTGCGTTTGCGCACACAGCCTCTGCTTCCTCCATGCTGTGGGTAGTGAACAAGCAACAAAGCCGGTTATGACTCTGTCGCTTTTCGTGCAGGACACGCCACATGAGCCGTCGAGCCACTACATCCACGCCGGCTGAAGGTTCGTCCAAGAGCAAAAGTGTCGTGCGGTCGCCCAAAAGGGACAGCGCAAGCATGAGTCGTCGCTTGTTCCCCCCACTGAGGTGCAAAGCCGCGGTGTTTTCCACCGGAAGCAGGTCCAGCCGCCTTACGAGGTCATCGATTCGGGCGCCTTCACATGATACGTCGTCGTGCCCGCGGCATTGGAGACGGTAAAATAACTCGAGGTGTTCGCGCACGCTCATGTCATTGTAGAAAAGATTGCCCTGAGGGCAGTAGCCATACCTCATGCTTGTCTCTCGGGGCTCATTCGTCACGTCGCACGAGTCGATCGTCGCCTTGCCTCTAGTGGGCGAAATGGCGGCGGTGAGTATGTTGAACATCGTCGATTTGCCAGAGCCATTGACACCCAGCAGCGCCACACAGTCTCTCTTCTTTACAGAAAAGCTCACGTCGTGCAGAGCCACCACTTGGCCACTCCCACTTGCCAAAGCAGCGGCATTTCTGCCGGCTGCGCATCGGTTTGTTCCCAGTGCGTAGATCTTTTTCTGAGGATTGAACACTTTCGAAACTCGCGTCACGTGCACCATGTTCGAGTCAGGACACTCTTCGTCGACAGCAGTTTGAACGGCCTCTGCGTAGCCTCGCCCGTAGCTACTACGACGCCAGAGCAAGAAACATCGCCCTTGACTCAATGCGCGTCGTATCTTGTGTTGCGCCTCGGTGGGGTACATCTGATAAAAGTCCACCACAAGCAAAAGGGACGTGTACACCACAGAGCATACCAACATGGCAAACCACTTATTTCCAGCGACATTCCAGTCCCAAACAGAAGCCTGCGCGTTGAGATCCATTTTCTCAAGCATACTTAGCAGATCTCCACCTGCAAGTTCATCACCTATTTTGAGACACTGCTGTCGCATGGGAGCCCAAGATACTGTCCCGATCTCGAGCACCACATTGCCAAACGTATACAGTGGAAATGCCTGCAAGAAATATGAGGCAGTGCGCACTTTGCTACACATGCCAGGAATCATCGACAGAGCAAACACGACGGATACCGCCACGATCTGGAACAGCGAAGCATACGACATGTACGACTGCGCCGACGCGTGTGATGAGAAGATTAATGAAGTGAGGTACTGCGCGGGAAGAATTGCCAGACCGAAACACGCCATAGAGACGAACCAGGCGAGAATAATTGCACTGTTAAGCGCCGCAGAGAATACCGCAAGAATGACACAAATCGCGATAACTGCCAGCATGTACGTCGAGTAGTCAAACAGCAAGTTCGACGACCAGTACAAGACCGACGCATTGGCGGTCCCAATGTGCTGGTACTGCAGACGCTTCAAACCGCATTCTTTCTCCCTCACGACCAGCGCGGCGTAATAGCCGATGATGGAACTCATCGCCATCAAAAGGTAAAAGGACACCATAACCCGCTGGACAGCAAAAATGGCTTCGTCAAAGTTCACGTCCACGCCATCTTCACCCGCGGTCACTCCCGTACCAATCGCGAGATCCATCGGGTATACACCCTTCTTCACAACCAGCTCGCAGTTGTCGATTTTTGGAGCGTTTTCGTGCTTCGCGCGCGCCTTGCAATACGCTTGTGACATCCATTGCAGCGTTACCGGTAACGAGCGACGCACTGTTTCGTTGTAGTAAAGCGAGTAAATCATCACTTCGGAAGATATTGTACCGGTTGTCGTCCAATTAACATCCGATACAAACACACCAGCAAAATACGTTGTGGCGCGCTCGCTCGCTATCGCGTCTAACATGGCCTGCTCGGTCTGCGCGTCTCGGTCAAACACAATCGGATGACTGCTCAGCTCCATTTGCGCCACCATGTCCGAAACCGAATCAATCGCTGATGGCGCAGACGATATATAGAACGACGTTCCTCTCGCTGCCGGCGGTAAGGACGTCACTACCTCAACACCCGGTTGAGATGTGAGCAAGTTGTGAAGCACGCCCATAAGAGTGGTGAAAAAGCCAAGTGGCCACACAAACTGAGCAAACAGCGCCTTCTTGTCACGAGAACCCATCTTTGCACGCTTCAGAACCATAGCGCGAATCTTCGAGATCGAAGATTCCCACTCTGACAGCTGTCTATCGGTGGTAGCGGCATGCTGACTCGTTGTCGGCTTGGCCTTTCCGCCCTCCATTTTCGAATGCACTGCGTCAACGCTTCCAAGACCACCGTCGTTCTTTACGTCGTCCTTGGCGTGGTTGTAAACATCCTCGCCCTCAGTGACCTTCACAAACACATCTTCCAAGCCAGTTGCGGCAATCGCATAGCGCTTGATGGTCTTCGCCTGCTTCATCGTTTCCAGCTCTTTAAACAGCTCCGCCAAACGCTTTTCTTTTCCATCAGTCAGCCGTACACGCGTTTCCCACTTGCTGTCACTCACGATGGCAGCGTTCGGTACGTGCTTTGTCAACGTCTTCATCAATTGGTCTGTGCGCAATTGACGTCTCGATCGTAGATTACTGTGGTCGTCATCCTCTTGATCATCCTCCTCACAATGCACGATCGTGAGCTTGTAGCCCACTCCGTACTGATTTTGCAGAAACAAGCTAGAGCCGCAGCATTTTAGCTTGCCATCAGCGACGATGCCAATATTCTCACACAACGCCTGCGCTTCTTGCATCGAATGCGTGGTCAGAATCACGGCACGATGGGTCACAGCGCGCTTCAGTGTGTCCCATGTGTCCAGCCGGGCTCTCATGTCCATACCGGCGGTGGGTTCGTCGAGCAACAGCACACGAGATGAATCCAGGAGAGCCAATACAAGCGACAGCTTACGCTTTTGCCCACCTGACAAGGTCTTTGATAGTGCGTCGTGCTTTTCGTCGAGCCCGAATTGCTGCAACTTTCTGGGCCAAGCCTCCTCAGGGACAGTCTTGATCCCCATGCTGTTTTTCAGGGCGCACACCAGCCACAAATGCTCCCAAACGCTCAGATTGTCGTACAAAATGTTTTGCTGGAAGCAAACGCTCAGGCTCTTTCGCACCGCTTGTGGGTTCGTTGCCACGCTGATAGACCCTCCCACGTACGCGTCTCCACTTGTTGGCGGTATGATTCCGCTTAGTATCGACAACGTTGTGCTCTTGCCGGCGCCATTGGGACCAAGCAGCCCAAATATCTCTCCCTTTTTTACACCAAACGACACATTTCGCAGCGCCACTTTTCCATTCGGATACGTCTTGGACAGAGACCGCACAAACAGGGACGGGCGAAAGTGCTGCATGTACTCGGACAGAGTCTGCTCACGAAGCGTGTCGTCCAGCCGATCGTCGATACTCTCGAAATTCATTTCAGTCAGCTGCGCAAGCTCGCTGTCTTCATTGCTGTCCGACTGCGGATTCAAGTTCTTAGGGAACCAGTAAGACGCCTGGAACACAAAATACCATTTCTGCTGCACTCCATACGTGCGCGGAAACACGTTTTCCAAGTACCATCCAAGAAGCAGATATCCTGCGCACTGGCTGGCCAACTGGCGGTACGGTGTCGCGACGGTATTCCAGGTAATTGGCCTGCAAGCTCCAGTTGTTGCGTCCAGTGCCAGGATGTTGCGCAACGTAGACATGAATACCACCGGAGAGCTGATGCCGTCCAGCACTGACAGCAGCATGGCCAGTGAAGTGGATGACGCGACCGCATCAGCGCCCACCAGCGAGCGAATGAAGGCTCCGGCACTCAGAACGAAATACACCATTGGTGCGCATGCTGCCGCCGTCTTCGTCTGATTGAAGAGGGGTGTGATGGCAATGCCGAAAAGCAGAATGCTCGATACAAATGCTATAAGAAGTAGAAAGAAGTAGACCTGTCCATCGAGCGTAGCAGCAAACATGCTACCACTGAGCAGCCATGCTCCCATGAGTGCCACAACTGCTGAGGCCGAGATGTACAGCAGAAACCAACTAGCCAAAAGCGCCGTCGCTGGTAGCCCCATGATCATCAAATACTCCTTCAGTTGCTTCTCTTTTTCGCCCACGACATCACAAATCAGCCGCACGTATGGCCACATGAACAAGTACGCCATGTAGAAAACAATGTTGCCCTGGAGTGAACCGGCGATGGTGTCAGTAGAGCGGCTCGGTAGCACCGACACCACCAACACGTCCAACTCGTCATTCGATGCCACTTTGCCAACGAGGTTCGACAGAAAGTGATGGATCTCTGGCGACAGCTTCCCTTCCTTCACTGCAGTTCTGCATGCTTCCATGCTGCGTCCCAGAGGCGACGTTGCGGGAAACGCGCCCCATCGGAGACCGCCCATATGCAACATCTTGTTCACAGTGCGGCAAACAGTGTTTGGCGCGAGGGTGTTGATGTCCACAACTTCGTCATTGGCAAAGCTCGTCGAGCTCTCGCGAAGGAGCATGTTCAGCGACATCTGGAACGGAAGCACGTATGGAAACAACATGGTGCCGCCGCTGTCAAACGTCAACTCGTTGATCGCAAACCTGTCCACTTGGGTTTCCACGTTTTCGACCGGCGCGTTCTTCGTCTGCTCCTCCGAGAACAGTGTCAGTAGCTCCAGTGTGTGCCGCTCCTCTTCTTCTTCGCGCGCCGTCACGCGCCGGACGTCCAAACCCGCGTAGATATTGACGCCACTGTGTGTCGGGTACTCGAGCAGCGCTTCGGTGGCTTCGTCGTTCGACATGGTCGAGTTGAACGGCACGAGTTTGCTCACGTCCATGTAACTCGAGATCCCCAACTCCGGTGCACTCGGATACTGTCTACATGGGTACACACACAAACACACACACACAAACAATAAACAAAAATAGACAGAGAGGCAAAAGCGTGAGTACAAACGCGACGCGCTGAGCGCAGGTTTCAGTCATGTCCGAAACCCACGAACAAGCATAAAACCACAGCATAGAAACAACACACTGCAACAACATCAACTACTCCTATACGGTCCGTACTGGTCGAGGTGGTGCAGAAAACGGACCGTGTCTTCGCGGTCTACAAACGCGAGGCTTTGGTTACTTCGCGCCAAAAGTAACGGCAAGAGCGCCAGAAGTAGCGTCACAGGCTCGGGCGTCGCGTGCGCCACCATCGGCACGTCGTGTGCCGTCACGTGCGGTACAATCGACACATTGTCGTCCTCGGCCGCGTCCGTGAGGAAATCGTCGTCCAATGGCGTCAGCCGACGTCGCGCGTCCCCGTCAACGTCCGCCGTCGCCAACATGTCGCCAATGTCCATGAGCGTACTACTGCTACTGAGAGCCGCCGCTGCTGCTGCCGCCGCAGGAGCAGTAGCACTACTGATCGGACTATTCTCCCCGCCAGGCCGCATCGCGAGCTCGGCGTTGTAGCGACACATGGTCTGGATCAAGAGCAGGAGCAGCCCCAGTGGCATAATAACGTCCGTGACGAGCGCGGGAAAGAGCCAGCGCTTGCCCGTGCGGCCCCTGTTCAAGCGACTGTTGCGCTGCTTGACGCGCCAGTTCTTCCAGAGCAAAATGCCCACGCTGCGCCACATGGCTACACTTGGCACAGGCTCTGCTCACTGGCTACTGTCGGTCTGAAACGAAGAAGAAGAAGCGGAGAAGCGGAGAAGCGGCTGCTGCTGTTCGTGCTACTGCTCTGCTGCGCGAGGACTTTGCGAGTGTGTGACGTGTGTGTGACGTGTGGCGTCCAGAGCGACTCCCCGACAATGGGTACAACTGCGACGTCGTCGTCGTCGTCGATAGTAAAGTGTACTGTAAAAGTAACAATAGCCCACACGAGCAGGACTATAAATACCACGCGGAATGGATGAACCGGTCCAGTTTCCGATAAGACTCGCGCGCACACAGCATCACAAAAAGAGCTCTTTACAAACGAGTCTAGTGACAAAAAAGGCGACTTTGTCCGACCAGACCGCATCAGATGCTCGACTCAGCCGCGTACAAAAAGGGACACGCACTTCGATCCCCACCAGCAGCTCCGAACTCTCTCTCGTTCTTTTTCTACCACCACATATTGAAGATGGAGGTCCACCACGTCCCGGTGATCGACGTCGGGCCGCTCCTGGCGCTCGCAACGGACGCCGACGTGGACAGAGCGCTTGGCGATACGACCGACGCATCTGTCCGTCGTATGGTCGACAGCGTGCGCGCGGCTTCTCGCGGCTGGGGGTTCTTCTACATTGCTCACCACAGCGTCTCGACCGACGAGATGGACGCGTTCCGACGCGCGATGCGGTCGTTCTTTGCGCTGCCGGCCGCGATCAAAGCGAGCGTTGCGAGCTCTGTGGCCAATCCCCGGGGCTACGTCAAGGGGGAGCTCACGAAGAACAAGGTGGACTGGAAAGAGTGCTTTGACTTTACTGACGCTCAGGAAGACGAGCCCCCAGGGGATTGCCGCGACCGCGTTGGCCGTGAACAGAACCAGTGGGTCGACGAGAGTCTACTGCCGGGATTCCGTGCCGAGATGCAAGCGTACTATGACAAGATGGGCTTTCTATCGCGCCGTCTCATGAAGCTCTTTGCTGTGGCGCTGGACAAGGAGCCGACGTTTTTTGACGGGTTTTTTGCCAACACGCACCCCAGTGCCATGCGACTGAACCATTACCCGATCGCTCCAGAACCTGACACGACCATGGGCGTCCACCACCACACGGACCCCGTTGCGCTGACGATTTTGCTGCAGGATGACGACGTGGCGTCGCTGCAAGTGCTGCATCGAGAGTCGGGGACGTGGGTCGATGTGCCACCACGTCGCGGCACGTTCACGATCAACACTGGCGACTTGTTGCAAGTGTGGTCGAACGATCAGTTCATGGCGCCGCTGCACCGCGTGCTCGCGAGTGGGAAAGCGGACCGGTTCTCGGCTCCGTTCTTTTACCTGCCGGCATACACTGTGCAGGTGGAACCCATTGTGATGAATGACGGCGATGTGCCAAACTACCGCCCGTTCCGGTTTCTCGAGTACATTGTGGCGCGCGCAAGTGGCAATTACGCTGATCTGGGCAAGGAGAACCAGGTTGATGATTTCAGGATCCACGGTGCTATGGATGTCGCAAACGCATAGGAGCCGATTGTACGTGCCATGTGTGAAAGTGTGACGGCAGCATGTTGAGCATCAGCTACTGCAGTGTGTACGTGCGCGCAGAGATTGTATTCCCAGCGAGAAACGGCCACGCGCTAATGACTTGTTAGCAACTTCAGTATGTGCTCTGTAGCGACGTCAAGAAAGAGACTGGTGATGAGACCGCAGTGTGTGTTTTGACCAGCCCCATCGCGTGTTCGCAACTCTGGCAGCCCTACAACTACGAGCTGGTAAAAGAGCTGGTTGGCACTTGTCGAACGCAACTGCTTTGACAATCACGTGCATATCAGCGTGTCAAGCCACGACGAAGTCATCGTTGCAGGGACATGCCATGCTTTGACACTTGGCCCCCAATCAATCCCGAGGGGCCACGCCGACTACTTGTCGACGGTCGAAAAGGAATCTCTCCGGAAGCCAATAGATATGCCTTTGCCTTTGTCTTTCCCCCAAGTCGGACACGTCGTGCCAGAGAGCTCCCCCGCGACAGTGCCGGTCTGGACCACCCGCGTGGAACTCAATGACCAACAACAAAGCGACCGCACCTTTCTGCTGCTACATAACTCGTGTGCAGCAAACAAAGCCGCTCGAAGAAAACGTGCTTTTTACACAGTGCATTTTGCCCACCGTGTCGTCCAAAACGACCCAAAACATGCTCTCTATCTGTACATCGCCGGCCCCGTTTCTAAAAGTTGCCCAGCGCCACTCACGTCGTCGTCGTCGACGGCCCATATGGCTCTGCTGTCGCCGTCGCGGCTCGAAGCGCTGCGCCTCATCCGCGAGCAGCTCCGCTGTACACTATGGTAACTCCTCTCGCACACACGCAGCCGCAGCCGCACTCACACCTGCGCTCTTGTGTGCTCGCTCCCTGTAGTCACCACACGCTCCAAGACCCCCAGTGCCTCGACTGCAAGCACAACTTCTGCCGCTCGTGCATCCTGTCGCACCTGCGGCGCAATCGCTCCGACTGTCCGCAGTGCCAATTGCCCACGCGGCCGAGCGAAGTGACGCGGAATCAGTTCCTCGAGAGCCTTTTGGGCGCGTGGCAACACGTCGAGACAGAGCTCGCGGCACTGACTGGCGACGTGCGACTGCACGCGGCGCAGTATACGGCCCACGACACGGACGAAGCGCTGCACCGGGCGCTTCATGGCGCAGGAACGGCAGGAGAAGGGGCCACGAGCGGAGCGAGTGGGGACGTGGAGGACCTGCAGGCGACAAGAGGGCGCGTGGCGAACCACAAGTGGGACATTGACACGCAGGAGATCCGCCAGGAACTCAGGTTGGCAGAGCGGTACATGCCGCAGCACTATGGCTCGAGGCAGCAGCAGCAGCAGCAGCAGTCGAGTACGAGTCAGTGGAAGAAAACGAGCAGCAGTGACTTACCAGAGGAGTACAAAGGGAGCAGTGCGAGTGCTCGAGGACACGCGAGGAGCGAAGGAGCGGGCAGTGGCTGTAGACGAGACGGCGGGCGTCGCAAGCGGGAGAAGCAGAAGCAGTCGGCCATGTCGCTCGTGGAAGTGGCTGTAGTCGAGAGCAGTGACGTGGGGACGCAGATGGGTGAGAGTGACGACGAGGACGAGGAGGACGAGGAGGACGTGGACGAGGAAGACGATAGTGAGACGGGATGGCAAGTGCCGGCGGCACGGACCAGTAGCTTGATGGCGACGCAAGAAGTGGAGAGCTATATGGACCGCATTGCCAAGCAACGGGAAGCGCTGAGTCAGTGGGAGAAAAGCCGAGCGGGGAAAAGTGATGCAACGTCGTCGCTGCTGGACTTGGAGCGGTCGCTGCTACGTAGCAACGGGTTTGATGAGTTGCTGAAAGAGCGACGGCGAGCGTCAACGTACTGCAACTTCTTTGACAACAGCGACGCGATGACGCAAATGACTCAGATGCCGTCATCTACGAGTGTGTTCGAGTCGCCGGACCTGTTGGCTTCGTTCCGACGGCAAAAGTACACTCGCGATGACGAGAGTGACAACGATCGACGGTCAGCAAGTAAAGCGACGCCGTGGATTCCATCGACACGTGCGTCTCCGTTGTTGCAGGCTCGAGGCAGAGGTTCCTCGCCGTCACGTAAACGACTGCGCATGCCCGTACCTGAGCACGAGTATCCGGTATGTCAGCGCAGTGTGCCAGCCATTGATCCATCTCTGAAGTGTTCGGAGGTGGACAACGAAGATGAGGTCCATGATAGTCAGGTAGCAACGAGTGAAGATGCGAAGGAATCGGACGACGACGATGAAGAAGAAGAAGAATACGAGATGAAGCCGGCAGTGCCGGTACCTCCAGCGCCCAAGCACAGTAGCTGTGGGTCTGATGCGAAGTGCGGACACTCAGGTTTGTCCTCGCAAACGGATGGACGTCGTCCTCGTGGTGACTGCTGCAATGCTGCGGCCGCATTCCAGACGGACGAGCAACAGCACCGCAGTCCCGAGCCGCAAAGAACGAAGCCACTGGTATGCTCTGCTTCAGACACAAGGACTTGCAGTGGCACAAATGCAGCTCAGAAGGCAAGTGGCATTGCAAGACCACATTCCACGGACAGCTCGTCCAGACCTCCCGTTCGCGCTTCGAACGGCCATGTCAAGGCACCTCCAGTGGGCGGCTGCAGCTTCGTGTTTGTGAGCTCTGACCTCACCCGTGAAGAAGTAAAGCGTGTGCTCGAGGCCACGCAGCAGCTGGGAGGCAGGTTCGGGCACGACTTTGACCTCAAGCGCGACCCTGTCACAGGTCGCTTTTGCACGTCTGTGACCCATTTGATCACGAAAGCAGTGCCGCCTGTCGGCGCCATTGACGGTGCAGACCCCGACGAGTTGCGGTGCAAGCGCACGGCCAAGTACATGCGCGGACTGGCCGAAGGGAGTTTCGTGATGGACTTTTCCTGGATCACAGCGAGTTTGTCGGCAGGCAGGTGGCTGACTGAAGAGCCCTTCGAGATGATTGGCGACATCTACAGCAACGCTGTTGGAAAACCGCACGAAGGGCGTCTGCGGCGCGTGCAGACTGGACGACGCAACAGCATTTTCAGCGTGCTCAGCTTTGTGCTGCTCGTGTCGGAATCCGAGTTTGACTTCCAGTTCAACTCGGTGCGAGCGCTGGTCAACAACTTTGGCGGCACTGTCGTGCGGGCCGAGAGCTTTGCCAAGGCCGACCGCAAGCAGCGCTCGCGTCGCGCTCCCGTCGGCGTCGTGGCCAAGACGACGCTGCCTTCAGAAGCCAAGACCAAGTGGGAGCAGTTCCAGATCCCTATCGTGCGCATCACGTGGATCTTCGACAGCGTGAGTCACCTTGAAGTGCTGCCATTCGATGACTATTATCCGTATTAAGACGACGGCGTCTGGTGATGTACTGACACCAGTGCGGTATGTCAAGTTCGTACCGCGCTGGTCCACACGCCACGACGTGCGCGTCGCTCCGACAACTGCTGCTGTCCGTGTCTCCAAGCTGCCGTCAGCGTACTTACTACTGGCCGCTCTTCTGTGCCTCAAGCGCGTGGTCGCCGTCCACCGGCACTTGCATTTCAAAAATATCCAATTGGCCCTCGTGCTTGACTGTACATTCGTACAACACAGTGCATCCCAAAGGCACACACAGACAACCACACAGTATGTTACACCATCCACAATCACGTACACACACACAACACCTCGTCGGCCTACTCGTTTCTAAATCCAGCTGTTCGACCCATTTCGACCTTCTGAATGTCAGCTTCTAGATTCTAGCCCAGGTCTAGATGTATACATGCCATGTATACACGTATCCAAACCTGCAATGTTGATATTGGCGCCCGTTGCGACTCGAATGTGGCGCTGGACGCACGCGAGGAGCTCCTGCTGCAGCGCTGCCAGGTCCACGCCCGCCAGCACCTGACTGCCTCGCTGGTGCGCGAGGATGATCTGCAGCCGCTCTTTCGCTACCGACTTGGACGACGACGGCGGCGCGTGCGTCGCGTCTCGGAACAGCGACGTGAGCCACTTTTTCGCGCTGCTGGGGGCGGAGCTCCGGGCTGCCATTTCTAACTGCCGATGGCAGAAAAGTACCCTTTTTTCTCGGCTGTTGGGGACGTGTGCGAGAATGGGTGGGGCCTACTGTGCTCTCTTCAGTTATGTGCCCTCTCTCTCGCTCTCTCGCTCTCTCGCTCTCTCTCTCTCTTTCGTTGACCCATTTGACGGCTGCCTTCTTCGATATGCAGTATGCGAGGCCCTCCCACTTTCGATGTAATATTCGCTAACCGACAGGGGGCGTTAGTTTCGGACCCACTCCAAACGACACGTTGGTGCAGCGTAAAGGGACCCAAATTAAGCCAAACGACCTGTACGCGCTCACCGCCGAGCGCTCCGATCGATCCTGCGACATGGACGTGCGTCAAGTACCTGTGATCGACATCCGCGCGCTCATGGCGCTGCCCACGGAGGCCCACGTGGACGCTGCAGTGCGTGACGCGTCGGGCAGCGGCTTAAGTGCGACGGTCACGGCCGTTCGGGCTGCTGCCACCGAATGGGGATTCTGGTACATTGCGAACCACGGCCTGACACCCGACGAGGTCGAAGCGTTCCAACATCAGATGCGGTCGTTCTTTGGCCTGTCATTGGCTGTAAAGCAGCGCATGCGGCGTGGGGTATTAAATTCCAGAGGCTATTTCGACAATGAATTAACGAAAAACAAAACCGACTGGAAAGAGGGCTTTGACGTATCCGGCAGCCAGGAAGATCCGGATAACGACAAGGAGCGGCTCCAGAAGCACTTAGGTTCGACCGAGCAGATCCAAAAAGCGGACCCATGTCACGAACGCATGGGACAGGATGCAAACCAGTGGCCCGAAGCCGCCCTGTTGCCGGAGTTTCGGCCCGAGCTGCTCGAGTATTCCCGCAAGATGGAGCAAATCGCTCACCGACTGGTGAAAGTCTGTGCGGCCGCTTTGGGCCTCGCGCCCACAGTGTTTGACGCGTGTTTCCAGCCCGACAACTCGAGTTTCTTGCGGCTGAACCATTACCCCGTGGCGCCAGCGCCCAATGATGGCAAGATGGGCGTGCACCACCACACCGATGCAGGTGCGCTGACGGTGCTGCTGCAGGACGACCACGTGGCGTCGCTGCAGGTCTTTCACCGCGAGTCCCAAACGTGGACGCTCGTGCCCCCGCGCGCCGGCACGTTTGTCGTCAACATTGGCGACATGATGCAGGTGTGGTCGAACGACGTGTTTGTCGCACCGCTGCACCGCGTGCTCGCGAATGGAAGGGCCGCGCGCTTTTCTGCGCCGTTTTTCTACAACCCGTCGTACAAGACGCTCGTGCAGCCTCTGGTGGCAAGCGAAGGCGAGGACGAGCCGCACTATCGGCCGCTGAGCTGGCGCGAGTTCCGTCAAGCGCGGTTCCAAGGCGACTATGCTGACAGCGGCAAGGAGGTGCAGATTGGCGACTATAAGATCCGCGGCCCTGTCGACGAGGCGAATGCGTAATCGGCAGACGAGTGGTGCACAGGCTGCAGTTTGTAAGGTACTGATCGACGCTGAGAAGATGCTGGTGGTTGAGTATGCAATGACTCGTGGCGCTAACTTGTACATTCGATGCTGTGTATGTCGGATGTAGACTTCGTAGCAAGCGGTTTGATGGATCCAAGGAACACGTCGGTTCTCGTGGCTGTTTATTCTCCTCAACGCTCCTCGAATGGTAGTCACTACTATGCTAGCGCACGAGATACCGTACGTCTTCTGTCACGCCAACTAACAAATGAAGCAGCGTCAATACAGTCGTGTTTGAGAACCGTCTTCGTGAAGGAGTCACCAATTGGTCGTGTGAGACTTTGACGAGCTAAGTATCGTGGCAATGGATCACGGTTCTCGCCACGACAGAGTCGACGACGTTCGGCCATTAGTCGTCACTACCGTCTACACATTGCGTGGAACTTGCAACCGTACAAGAGAATTATCGATTGTTGTTGACTGACCTCCGTGACTAATGTGGCTGACCATTTGCCCATGTTTCTTCGAGGCGGCACGTACGCAACGATACGCGTCGATGCGCCAACAAAAGAAGAATGCACAATTGTTTTGCTTGGGTCATCGCGCAAGGTTCGTAAGCAGATGGGTACGTACGTCGGACTCGAATGTTTCTGGAGAGCAACAGAGATGATAGAGCACAAGGCGTAAACATCCACGTAGCAGACCTTTGACACGGCAGCTGACCGGCGGCAAAGCTGCTTACGGCGACAACAGCAAACCAGGTAAAGAACAAGTGCCGCTTCAACTACATTCGTGTGCGTGAGCCTTCTTCTTGACTACGGTATCACTCTTCCACTCAACTGTGCATTTTCGTGTGCTCGTCTCGGATCTTCGGTTTCGTCCAAGTGCTTCGTCATTTTGTCCTTGCGAGCGCTTAGTCTTGGTATGTTGTTTCTCGCTGTTCTTGGCCGTTTTCAAGCATATCACGCTCACCAGCGTGGGGTGTCGACATGAAAGGCCTTGCTCGGCCTTTTCCTTCTCTGTTCACATGTCGGGTCAGTGCCGCCCTTCTCTACCAGGCACCTCCCGATGAGCGCGACCTCCGACGCCCCGTGACCGGAAACTTGAATTCCGGTGCCATCTCTGGTGGCTCCCCACCGGTCAGACGAAAGCCAAAGCCCCGCGTTCCATCCGGTCCGATAGCCTGGCGGTACAGCTGGGTGCTACCATTCAGCCCCATGCCAGGAGGAGGCGGGACCGATACGTTACCTCCAACGTTGTTGCCGTGCACGGGTGACTGCGCCATCCGCGGCGACGCCAGGTTCAGCTTCGACCGTGTGCCTGACGATGACGAACGGGCACGGAAAGCTGCCGGCTGGGGCGGAGCGCCCACCGTCGCGGCGCGACTGCGTGACTCCCATCGACTCGGCGACGGTGCAAAGTAATCCTTCTGCCCATTGCCGCTTGACGAGCTTCCACTTACTGCTGGCGTGCCACTCAAGCCACCGCCATTGTTGGCATCGCCCGTCAAGTTGGCGGGCGGGCGGAACTCCAACTTGACCTTGCTCGCATACTTGCGACCGCTCTTCTTGTTCTTGCCCACTGTGAACGACACGTAGTCGCCCTGCCGAATGTCCACGTTGCCGTCCTCATCGGGAATGAGGCGGAACGAGATACAGGCCGAATCCTGTCGCGTGGGCGTAATGAGTCCGCCTGCGCCACGGATCGAATACACTGTACCCGTGTTCACCTTGCCTTCACGAAGGTCGTCCAGACCCTCGCCAACCGATTCCACGTGCACGGGACGTGTGACAGCCGAGGCCGATTTCGCACGACGACGGTCACCGCCAAGTTCCACCGGAAACATCTTCTGCTTCAGCTTGTCACAATTTGTGCCGTCAAAGAGCACCACCTGCATGCCCGTGCGCCAGTTGTACTGATCCGACAGCGTCAGCACGGCGTGCTTGGTCATCTCGTCATCGACAAACTCGATGATAGCGTACGTCTCACCCGCCGCGATGGGAGGCTTCAGCACAGCATTGCGACCTGTCGTCGTGTTCTTCTTCAGCAGACGCAAGTACGAGATCTCGCCGCATCCCTGAAAGGTCTCACGCAGTGAAGCGACGGAGGCATCTTCCGGCAGATTGTAGGCAATGGCTGTGCGAGCCAGTTTGCCATGATATGTCTGATTCGGTGCCAGGGGCTCTTTCCGACACACCATGCTCTCGTCTTCGTTGAGCAATAGCTTGGTCGAAAGCTCCAGTGCCTTCTTGATCTCGTCCATGTCGGTAGTCAGCTTCTTGACCCGACCAAACGAGGCCAGCAGTTCCAGCTTGACGTACCCATCGATGTTCATGTTCTTCAGCAGAAAGAGATCGCCGAGCAAGTTCTCGTCACAGAAGTAGTACTCCAACTGGTCACAGATCGTGCGGAGGAACGTGGCCGGCAATGGCGCGCCCGTGACGCCTGGGCTCGACGTAAACATCTGCTGACTCATTTCATTGGCCTCGTCGCTCGACAAGTGCAGCGACTGCACGGCTCGATCGATCGCTCCAATCGTCATATCATCACAAGATGGAGGAGGGGGTACTCGAATGTGGAGCACCGGCGGCGGTGGACCTTGCGGAAGCGGCGGCTGATGGGGTCGTCGATTCGGAGTCAACAGTTGATGCTGAAGGTGAGGAACAGCAGCAGCAGGTGCTGCTGACACGGACGAGTCGTCTGCAAACGAATCCCAGGCCGACCCCAGTGCCGACGGCTGGATCGGCGCCGAGAACGAGCGATTGCGACTGGGGGTATAGTACTGCGAGGCCAGTTGCGCCATCACGTCCATTGCGTCCGAGCGATCGCCAGTCGAGCGGCCATTGCTGCGGTTGTACGGGGGCGAGTCCGTTGCAGCCAAGAAGCTGTCGCTGGCAAAAGACGGAAGAGGCGGTGGCGGTGGCGGGTTCCCGCTCTGCTGCTGGTTCGAGTCCGAGTGGCTCATCTTGTGAATGGACAGACTCTCTGAGTGTCTCCGAAATGAGATTGCACGTCGACGCTCAGCTGGTGCACACAAGAGAGAGACAAGTGAGAGAGACAAGTGAGAGAGACAAGTGAGAGAGTGAGTGAGTGAGTGAGTCAGAGCGTTCGTGTCCGGTTTTGATTACAATAGTGGCAAAGAGAACGAGGAAAAAATGCGTACGTACCCTGTCAAAAATAGGTTTGTTGACTTGACGGGAGACTCGAGCGAGAGACGCGACTGGACTTGACCAGCGAACGACCTGATAGAGCTGTTGAGATGGGGCAATAGAAACAGAGGTTGGCATCCGCGTGGGTTGGGTCGAGAGAGAGCGAGGTGTCGATAGAAATCGATAGAAATCGATCGACATCGATAGAAATAGAGCAATAGAGCAATAGAGGAATAGAGCATCGGATCACAATGGGGTCAGCCGTCGACACGAGAGAGACAGGAGGTGGGTTGACACGCAAGCCAAGTGTCGACCAACAACAAAAGTGTCGCGTACCTCTCTCAATAGGAATGACGACCACCTCGCCAACACACCGTCTGTCGCGCAGTCTGAACGGCTCGCTCTCGTTGCAGCCACGAGAATATCCAGATATCGATCTACTTCTCGCGATCTATCCAGATAAATCGAGCGAGCGAGCGATAAATGGATATATCGATCGCTTACTCGCTCCTGCGCTCGCTGCTGCACCGAATAGGCGGCAGGCGGTGGGTAGCAGACGGTTGGGGTCCAACGCGTGTGGTTCGTCTCTCGTGGCAACGAGTGACGACAGCTGGACGGACGGTCACGGCAGGTGGCTGGCTCGACACTTGCTTGATACTGCTCCAGTATGGCGGTGGGTGATACGGTTGTCGCTGGTTAGAAACGCCGTTGAGGCGGCGTCAAGTTGCGCGGGCGGTGGCTGCGCAACTCAAACGAGCGATGACGCGACACTTGTGTTGCGTGGACGCGAAAAACCTCGCGCGGAACGTTTCGAGATCCTTCGGCCACGGAGTTGGCTTGGGGTTGCGTTGCCAAATGAAGGGAGGGTAGCAAAGTGCGTCAGGGGGTGGAAGTGTGTGTGTGTTGGGGAGGATCGAAACAGAGCCACAACGTACTTAAACACTTGGAACTGCCCGGCCATCATCGGCCCCATCCGGTTTTTCATTGACTTTTTTTCACTCGGAGTGAATGAGTGAGGGGAAGATGCAGCTCGAGTCCATCCGTAGGATTCCATTGGTGGTCACAGTGGTAGCACTAGCGCCACCCAATGGCCCGATTGTGGCTTCATGGCTTGCTGCATCATCATCATCACAACCGATTTGCGATTGAGGGTGTCGAGAAGGATCGAGCCCGTGCATGCACTGCTCGATCCTTCTGCTTGTTGTTGAAGCTGCTGCCTCTAGTGACGACATCGATGCCGCGTTGTCATTGCCTGTCGCGAGTGCTTTGCACCCATTCATGAGTAGCTACACCACTGATTCTCGAAGCAAGACGCCTCAGATGCAGAATTCTATGAGGATTCCCTCAGGAGCGTCTGCGTGGTCGACAGCGTAGCGCCTCATCGTCTCGACATTCCGACAACCTTTCGACTGACGCGATCGAATCGGTCTGCTTTTCGTCGAGAGGTTGTGCTTCATTCGGTCCAATAGGTCCAACAAAGTCCGAGATATCATGGCACCAGCTAAAGCTGACACGCAGAGAGGTTGGACTGCTGCTCTACAACCCGACGCGGATCCTTTCTCTGCTCCAGGCGTTCACATTGAGGTCGATAGAGTAGAACGGTACCGACACGCGTGGACGACGTAGCGGACCTGATTCTGCGTTTCCAGTTGTTGCTGCTGCTGCTGCTGATCGTCCTTGCAACTGCTGGCAACGTCTTGACAGTCTGCACTGCCACTATCAGCGCTCGAACGCGGTCTGTCTCGACACCACATGTACAGACGTACATGTGGTGTTCCTAGTCGCTCAATGTCGTTCTAGTGTTCGATGCTGGTCAAACATGTCCCCAATATAATTGTCGACATTGCCGTGTCAAGAGGTTGAGGATAATGCTGCAGTTTCTAGCCGCACAAACGCTGGGAAGCAGCTGGACGCCGTTTGTGGCGTCGTCCCATTTGCCACAACTTGCTCCGCCATACGCGATCAGAGGGAGAGGGTGTGCCCAATCGACAATGGAGGAGACTCACGCCTCGCTTCGCACGAGCTGTTAAGCATTATACACAGGATACCCCAAAGCACCTACAAGCCTTTTTCTCGCACGTGTCCGCACAAGAAGGACATCCAAATCCTGTTTATCACTGCATACCACGTCGTGAACAGTCGAAGATGGCTACCGCACGACACAACGACCGCCTCTTTTCGCTCGCCGCTGCTGCCTCGCAAGCCCCAACATGGCTACACGCGCCGGACGCCCGAGCCCGCTCTCGCACACGTCATTGGCTGAAATGCACGACCGCTCGCGTCCAACCAAATCGCCGCACCAGCTCCGCCCCCGGCACTAATGGAGCTCGACCAGGCCATCTCCCTATGGCGGGGCCGCGCGGCGGACGCTGCGCTGCTCGGCGCGTCCACGTGCATGTCGAAGGACGGCAGTCGGCTCGTGCTGCTCACGTCCAGCGAAGACGTGCGTGAGATCTGCGCCCCCACGCGCAAGTGTACGACCCACTGGACCTTCCGCGCCGGTAGTATCCACGCACTGCGTGTCGCTGCCGTGCGCCATCCGCACTCGCGTCTGTTCTTTGGTGTGTGTGGAGCGCCTGGCGTAAGTGCGAGCAAGAAGGCGCGTCAGGTGAGACGTCAAGAGGTCAAGAAGACGACGGCGCTGCCTGCGAACGAAGGCCTGACGGTCTGGCGCGACGTGGACGTGGACGTCGCTGCGTGGCGGCGCACGCCGTTGCAGTCGAGTGCGAAGACGTTTGCGCTGCTCGCCCATGTCAAGCTGAAAGAAGAAGTGGTGGTCGTGTTCCAGGACGGCTCGTTTGCGACGTATGACGGGGCGTTGAATCGAGGCGTGCACAGTGACGATGTCAAGGACGAAGCAGTGGCAGAAGAAGAAGAAGAAGACGAGGACAATGGCGATGAGGACAACGGAGACGATAGCGATGATGATCGTGACGGTGATGATGATCGAAAAGCTGACGAAGGCGAAGGACGAGTGGTGTGGGCGTACTTGGAGACCGACAGCCGCAGCTCGTTGAAGGGTGGACTCTTCTTGTCGATCCTTATGCAGAGTCTCACACAGAAAGGTACGAAGCAATTGCAGCTCACAGTGTATCAGATCACGAGCTCTACTGTCACGAGACGCATGGGCGGCGTGCTGTCGGTCGTGCAGCGCGTGCGTCATCGTGTCAGCCTGCCGGACAATGAAGAACTGTTATCGTACGCGTTCCACCCGGAGACGTTCTCGTACTCGCTCGTTGGCCAGTCGGGTTCCTGGCACACGCTGCGCTTTGCACGTGATGCAGTGACGAGCAGTGTAACGCTCGTAGCTTCGCATCCGATGCCAAACTTGGCGTCGGCCGAAGCGGATTCGGACGTGCCGTTGCACAAGAAGCGCAAACTACAGGCTGCGAGCAAGACTGGATCCGGCTACTTGGTGAGTGGCATTGGACACGTCACGTACTTGGTGAGTCTATCGTTGGACGCTCCTTCGACGATCACAGCTTGGGATTCCAAGTTTGCTGTTCCCGTGTCGAAGACAGAGGTCAGCTTGACGGCGAAGAACGACAGCGAGAATGGCGTCGTTGTCGGGCGTAGCAGCAAAGATGGCGTCGGCAGTCCAGTGCAGATTGTGAACGTTGGTTCGGGTGACGTTGTGGTCGTCGTTTATGAGCGGGGCGTGTTTCTCATTCACGTGAGGAACAAAAACTCGACGTTGGCGAGTGTCTTGGGAGCCATGGCATCTAGCAGCGGGGCAGCTTTTGATACCTTGACACCGCCTGCACTGCCTGATAGCTCTGTAGAGTGGGAAACCTTAGCGTCAAGCAGCATCAGCAACGACACGCTAGTTGTCGAGTCGTGGCAGTCGAAGCTGTGCAGTGCGGATGACCGTGAGCGTCAGCTGATTGCGGATCTGTCGGATCCGCGAGTCACGCCTTCAGCAGCTGAGTTCATCGAGCGTCTCGACAAGGCACTGGAGAAACAGAAGAGTGAGCTAACGCCTGGCAAGGACAAGCCAGAAGCGTTGTCGTTTCGATTGGTGCAAGCTGTGACGCGACGGTGCTTGGACTCGGCGGATCTGGGTCTCTGGGCTCCTCTCCACAAGATGCTGCTCACGGACCGGTTGTCGGCACGCGCGGAGCCAACGCTGCTACCGACGTTGATGAAGCACAATCAGTTTGCGCTGCTCGAGTGTGCTATTGTGCACCTTATCGACATCGACGAGCGCTCGCTCGTGCGTCTGTTGAAGTACTTCATCCGCAAGAGCAGCGAGTCATCGTTCATCCAGTTCGTGGAACAGCAAGTCCAGGCCCAGCCCGAGCAGAGTGACGCTGTCGATGCAGCTGTTGCCTGCGAGCGCTTCGCCGTCGCGCTGTTGGGTCTGCCCACGAATGACGTGTTCCTTCATCGAGCGATTCGAGAACTACAGCTCGAAGAGGTGCTGCTCGTGCTGGCAATGTGCAAGAAGCTGCTGCTTGTGCACACTACGGGAACCGATACGGACGACGAGGCGCCTGTCAAGCCATCAAAAACAACACCAGCAACAAGGCCAAAACGAGGCAGGACAAGTGCGGACAAGGCACTTGCCGTGCGGCCCACCACTGCGCAGTGCTTTACGCCGCTGCCTTCGGCCTCGCGCTGCTGCGTATGGATTTGTGCGTTGCTGGACGCGCATCTGTCTGCGCTGGTGCAACGCGCGTCGCAGAACACGGACGTCTCGCGCACACTGCAGCAGTTGGATGACCTGGTGCAGCTCCTGATTTGCACGAACGCACAGTACGAGTCGGTCCAGGGCGTGCTGAGCAACTTTCTGTCGGGCGTGCAGCTCCCGCAGGCTCCGGGACTTGCTGACTACAGCATTGAGGAGCTGTGGCTGTAGTTGAATTGCGCCGAAGAGGAAGAGGAAGAGGAGGAGGAAGGTGTTGGCTGGATGCCGAATAGATACATTTGATACTGTCGACTGGGTGGTGTGGTGGGTGGACACTTCAACTTGCACGGAGTGTACCCATGTGCCTTGTCGTCTTTTGTGTCGCATGGACTATTTCTGCACACTTTGGGTCATGTATTGTCTGCCCAGTCGATTGGCGCCTGCAGCTCGCTGGCTCTATTTTTGTAGCACGTTATTCCATCGTTAGCGCCACTGTATCGCGCTATTTGACCTGGACCGAACACGCTGGTCGGCGTGGGTCACAAAGACGCCGTGTCGCCATCACGGCTCATGCCGCTTTGGCGTCATCCATCTACGTCACACAGTACCCATCGATTTGATCTCGCGATGCACTTTGCAACAGTGCGCGCGCGAGACGGATTTATTTTCGCAGAAACCGGATAAAACATATGCTCATTGTCGCGTGGCACAACGACGCCACGCGTATAAGTGAGGATAGGACAGGCTCAGCTCCCTCTCCCCCGCGCTAGTGCCCAACCACCCAACCACCCAACCACCCAACCACCCCAAAAAAACGCCCAAACACCCGTCACCACCGCCCGCAAACAAACCGCAGCCAAAGAAGATCAGAGACCGCTCGTGGCCCGTCCCGAGTCGCCCAATGGCTACACCGCACCGCCACCCGCCGCCGCCGCTGTCGTCGTCGTCGTCTACAGCAGACGACGGCGCCGCCGACGACCACTGGAAGACGTCGCTCCAGCGGCCCGCGCGCGACACGCGCGTGCAGACGGAAGACGTGACGAACGTCAAGGGCAACGAGTTCGAAGACTACTTTCTCAAGCGCGAGCTGCTCATGGGCATCTTCGAGAAGGGCTTTGAGCGGCCGTCGCCGATCCAAGAAGAGGCCGTGCCGATCATTTTGGCCGGCCGCAACGTCATGGCCCGCGCCAAGAACGGCACGGGCAAAACCGCGGCGTTCATCATCCCGTGCCTCGAGAAGACGGACACGCAGCAGAAGCACATTCAAGTGCTGATCCTCGTGCCCACGCGCGAGTTGGCGCTCCAGACGTCGGCCATTGTCAAGGAAATTGGCAAACACATGCGCGTCGAGTGCATGGTCTCGACCGGCGGCACGAGCCTCAAGGACGACATCATGCGGCTCTACCAGACTGTGCACATCCTCGTGGGCACGCCGGGCCGCGTCATGGACCTCGCGAACAAGGGCGTGGCCGACCTGAGCCAGTGCGCGACCGTGATCATGGACGAAGCCGACAAGCTGCTGTCGCCCGAGTTCCAGCCGCTGCTCGAGCAGCTGCTGCACCACACGGCGAAAGAGCGGCAGCTGTGTCTCTTTTCCGCGACGTTTCCCGTCACGGTCAAGGCGTTCAAAGACCGGTTCGTGCACAACCCGTACGAGATCAACCTCATGGACGAGCTCACGCTGAAAGGCGTGTCGCAGTTTTACGCGTTCGTCGAAGAGCGCCAGAAGGTCCATTGCCTCAATACGCTGTTCTCGAAGCTCGATATCAACCAGTCGATCATCTTTTGCAACTCGGTGAACCGCGTCGAGCTGCTTGCGAAGAAAGTCACGGAGCTCGGCTTCTCGTGCTTTTACATCCACGCCAAGATGAACCAAGCCCATCGGAACCGCGTGTTCCACGAGTTCCGCAATGGCGCGACGCGGCACTTGGTCTGCTCGGACTTGTTCACGCGCGGGATTGATATCCAGACAGTGAACGTCGTGATCAACTTTGACTTTCCCAAGAACTCGGAGACGTACTTGCACCGCATTGGCCGCTCGGGCCGATACGGCCACCTTGGTCTCGCGATCAACATGATCACGTATGAAGACCGATTCAATCTGTACCGGATTGAGCAAGAGCTTGGCACGGAGATTCGACCGATTCCACCGGTCATTGACCGTAACCTGTACTGCAAGTAAGCAGTAATTGGATTTGATGGACGTTTATGGTTCGGAATGGAGAAGGGAGAGAGGGAAAGGCAGGGATGACAGGGTGGCTTAGGGAGGATAGTGAAGGGAGTGAGGGTAGTGCGTGTGTGGAGGCGCTGGAAAGAAGAAGTAGGTGGAGGCAGAGAAGAAGAGTGAAGGCTGGGTGAAGCAGGTGTGAAAGCGAGGAGAAGAAAAGATGAGGAGAGAGGTAGGTGGAGGTGAAGAAGAAGAAGGATGGAAGTTAAGTGAAGCAGGTGATGGACGTGTGAAGGCGAGAGGAGGAGGGATATAGGTTGGGGCAAGGAATCAAAATGGATGCTGCGTGATGTGGGTGTGAAAGCGAGGAGAAGGAGGGGAGGTGAAGAGGTCAGGAGAGAGGTAGAAGAAGGAGAAGAAGAAGAAGGATGGAAGTTGGATAAAGCGGGTGTGGAGGTGAACAGAAGAAGAAGAGGTGAAGGCGAGGAGAGATGTAGGTGAGGGTGAAGACGAAGAATGAGATCTGGGTGAAGCGGGTCTGGAAGCGAGGAGGTGTGACGGTGAGGAACGATGTTGGGAGGGGTGAAGACGGAGAAGGATGGAAGTTGGATGAAGCAGTGTGGAGGTGTGCAAGGAAAGAAGGAGGTGGAGGCGGCGAAAGGAGTCGGAAGAAGCAGCGTGGAGCTAGATGGAGTCAAGGTCTCTCGTGTGTGTGGTTGTAGCGATCACGCGCCAAAGCGAGAGGCATGGGTGCTGCAGTAGCACTCCATCTACTTTGTATCGACGGATCGCCCGAGCTGCAAGGCGATGGTGCGTGTGGTGGTCAGGAAAAAAGGGGGCCGAGTGGTGGACAGCACGCAGTGGTTCGTGCAAGTGTGAGAGGGGATGAAACAGCGCCTGGCCGCATCGATTGTGTCGAGAGAGAGAGAGCAGAACTGCAACAGAAGTAGCGGAGCGGGTGCGCGCAGCAAGAGCGAGCGAGAGAGAGAGAGGTGGAGGACAGCTCGACTTGCATTGGTATGGCGTTCGACGGGGGACAGTAGCGAAGCAGCTACTGCAAGAGAAGACAACTCGAACAGCAGCGCTCGCAACTGACAAGAGACGTTGGGGTCCGTCCATCTGACTGAGGTGAGCTGAGCGAGAGAGCAATCGACTGCGTGTCGAGACAGACGCACCGCTTCATTCGTAGCTGTCTGTCTGTAGACAGAGATAACGCATCAACAAACAGCTTCACCCGACTCGGGCGCGGCCTCTGTAGCCACATGTGCTTTGTGTCCACCAGTACCCAACAGCCGCTGCTGAGCCCGTAACAAGCGCTCGGAGCAAACGTCACGTGCGTGAGCACCAACAGCCCCATGGCACATTCAGACTGACAGCAGACCTGCAGCCACTCAGCAGCAGCTGCTGCCTCCACCAGACACACACACACACACACACGGACGAGTTGGAACACAGGGCAACTGATTGTCGCAACCTCTCGATAGCTTAAATACGTCCTGACCGACGACAAACCGCTCCACAGCTCTTCCGCCCAGTCATAAATAGTAATACCTCCTCCCGCTCTCTTCCTCTCTCGCTCTTCGTCTCTCGCTCGCTCTTCCGCTTCAGAACTCGACTTCTGCAAACACGCGCCGTCGAGACGTCACGGGCGCCACGAGACCCATTGGCCCGCGAGACGGCAGCACCCACTCCCTCCGTCCACAGAGCTTCGCACTCTTTGCGTCCGTGCGGCCACTGCGCGTCGGAAAGAGACTCCGCCGCTGCTCCTGTCCGTCTTCCGGCCGCATCTCGTCCAGCGACCGCTTCCGCCCGCCAGCGGTCGCGCCGCTGCTCGAGCGCTCAAGAGCGCCACAGGTCGCAGGCGACGCCCCGCCCGCCGGCGCGCGCAGAAACGCGCGCAACAGGCGCACGAGCGCGCGGCCAATGGGGCACCACAGCGGCCGCTGCTCCATCAGAAGCGCCGACACGCGCGCCACGAGGAACTGCAGCAGCACATTGAGCGTCCGACGCGTATCGTTCGCGCGCGTCCGGAGGTCGGCGAGGAGCGCTCGGAACGCACAGTGGTCCACGACCTGCGCGAGCCACGCGGCCACTCCACTGCGCGGTCGATCCACCAGCTGCTGCTGCGGCTGCTGCTGCGGCGGCTGTCTGTAGGGGCGCGGGACGGGCTGCGCGAGGGCTCTGAGCGCGTTCCAGAGCGCGTCGAACTCGCGGACGGTCTTGTAGACAAAGTAGACGCGGGCGGGGGCGGGCGGCCGCACTTGGACGGCGAACTTGGCCTCTGGGCCGCCGACGCACGAGGTCACAGTGGCGGAGAGGCCGCGCAGGTTCATGGCGGACGAGGGGGCGACGCGCGTTGGAGAAGGGGCGACGCGGTCGCGTTCGTGGCCGACGAGTGGTAAGTTTGCAACTGACGGACGGACGGACTGACGAGTGACTGAGTGAGTGAGTGAGTGACAGAGTGAGTGACGGACTGAGTGACAGAGTGACTGTGGGTCAACGCGTTGGGGGGTGTAGAGAGTGAGTCTCGAGAGAGAGAGAGAGAGAGAGAGCGATAGAGACGAGAGAAGGGGCAGCTAGCTACCTACCCCTACCTCGCGGACTGGGGTAGACGAGACACCCGTGGGGCTCTCGACTGCGACGCGCTCGCGGCGGACGGGCTACGGCTGACTGACTTGGTAGCAGTGAGAAAAAGCTCTTTTTCGAGTAAAACCTCAACGACGGCGAGGGACCGAAGCCTTCTTGCTCCCTCTCTCTCTCTCTCTCTCTCTCTCTCTCTCTCTCTCTCTTTTTTCCCCCTTGGCTGGATATTGATGATGACAATCATGTTGTTGTGGTGGTGGTGGTGGTGGTGGGTAGTAGTACTTGGGGTACACGTTCGCGTTACTCGTGGCAGGTGAGTGTCGAACGAGGGGTTTCAATTCGGGTCGAGCTGCAATGTCTGGTGGCTTGACTCGATCGTGGCGTGGCGTGTCATTCGTGGCCGTGCGGTGGTCGCTGCGGGGCGGAAGGCAGCTGGCTGTCCAGAGCTCGAGCGCGATGTCGCACCGGCGACCGATGGACGTAGTTGCACTATGCGTTGACCTGCTGGTGTGATGCCGTGTGTGCGACCGACCAGAGAGATCGCTTTCGGCAGAGATTGCTGCGACCTCTGGTCGTCGCGTCATGGGAACGAGGAGAGCGAGCATCCGGATGATGCCGATGACGATGATGATGATGATGGTCTCCAGTAGCTCTTTCCATGGCGTGAAGAGCGCCGATGTCGAGGGTCAAGTCTCTGTCACGTCGGACACGGGGCGTAAGTGCTGCTACTGTTGCTGCTGCTGGAACGGAAGGGGGATGGATGCCAGGCCGTGTGTCAGCTTTGTCGCTCTTGTCGACAGGCAGACGTCGAGGCTCCCCGAGCCACACACGCGCGGTCGGGTAAAGTCGTGACGGTCGCCCAGTCCCGATATCGTTGAACCAGCTGGTGGCCCGTCTGCCGGCAGTGACTTGGGAGCGTATGCAGCGGTCACGCCAGTCAGTCAACTCCAAGTGACGTGTGTTGCAGGCTATCCACGCCGGTCCGTGGACACTCGAAAGAGGTTGCTCCAACCGCTGCGTCCGATCGCCACCTGTCTCTCGTCGACGACACCTGTCCCTGGTCGAGAAAAGGGAAGCGGAGCCACTGGACGCTGCTGCACCGCTCACGACGGCCGTGTAACAACGACCAGCTAACAACTCCCTCTTCGCTGCTGACTGTATTGGCTCACTGACGTCTTCGGTCTCGCTTGGGCCGTTGCGTCCCGATCTTACCATCGCGCATGGTCCACCTGCCCAGTCCCGCGACTGATGGCTGCGACGCCATGTCCGCTCGCGGCTATGTCGTCAAAGCCCCCGTTTCTGCGGCACGAACACATGACGGCCGCGACCGCGCCTGCCATCGTGTCGTCGTGCGTCATGGCCGCATCTGGCCCAGATCCTCAGCGATCGGGTCGACAAGTAGGCCGTCTGCTCCACCTGCTGGAAAGGCGGAGATGCGCCTCCACAGACTGTTGTTGCCCATATGATGGCACTGATCCGATGGGCGTGCGTGGCATGATGACACCCTCGTGACACCGCGTGGTCGCTCACGTCTGACTGACTTGATTACACTAGGCCTCGATGAGCGCTGCAAACCTTTTCCCTCTGCTGGAGCGACCTACCCCGATGGAGGTACCACCCCGGCGTAGTCAGCTTCAACGTTCGCCACGGTCGGGTTCTCAGCGAACGTTACCGTCTTGGGCTGTCGGGGAAGGGGGCCGTGCGACCCGTCCCCTGACTCATCCGCAGAGAGATGGAGAACGTCTACACGACTGAGTATTACCAAGATGAGGTGAACCGGAAGCCCCTCTCTTTTTCTCTCTCTCTCTCTCTCTCTCTCTCTCTCTCTCTCTCTCTCTCTCTCTCTCTCTCTCTCTCTCTCTCTCTCTCTCGCTCTTCCTTTCTTCTTTCTGCCTCGACCGGTTGCAAGTCGAACGAGTGCGTCATTCCACGAGACGACAGCTCTGTCCATCGAGGACAGGACACAGTTAGTTACAAACTCGCACACACACACACACATAGGTAGCGACTTTATGGCCACAGATTGCTGATCGTCATCGGACAAGCGCGAGAGGGAGCACTACTCGAAGCGCGTCGGTCGTCGGTCGACCGCCTGTTGGCCTCGGGACGATCAGCGCGGAAAAGACGCACACGTGCACACGTTCGAGCGGCAGTCGTAGGTCGTCCTATCCTCGTTGATTACCTTCTTCTCGTTTTGGCCATGTGCTTTGACCGCGTCTTGGCGCAAAATGGAACAACGCGGCAGACTGGTCGAGAACGGGCAGCTGGGCGCCCATACAATCGCACATGTGTGCGTGGCACTGGCGGTCACACTTTCCACGCGGTTCGTCTCCTGCGAGTCAGTACTGAGACCGCTGACGAAACAGAGCGCTGTTTTCGCCGACTTGACTTTACCCGGAGGTAATCACTCACTCACTCACTCACTTGCGCCCGTACTCGCTATCTCTCCTGTGCGTCGCAGTGAGCCACGTGGACCACGTTCGTATTCTCACTGGTCAGAAATACGGACATTGCCTTCGTCGCTATTCGCTATTCGCTATTCGCGAGAATCCGCAGTTTCAATACAGAGTGATGGTCGCTGCACGTTTTGCTCGTCTGCCTGCCAGTACGTCGCGTTCTGGACCAAATCCGTACCAATTCTAGTCTCCCTCTCTCTCGCTTATGTACGATGTTTAGGTCCCGCGTGCAGAAAGGGTCGACTCTAAAAGTGAGGCGTCGTCCCTCCCGTATGTCAGTAGACTGCGACTGAGTGACCTCGCGGAGGTGGAAGCGACTCGAAGATGTGGTACAACACACACACGAGACGCGTCAACATGAATCGATACGAAGCCGTCCCGACCATACCAACCGAATCTCGAAGCACACAGCACAGACAAAGCACAACTCGACGCCAACGGTTCGAATCATCCGACTGCTGACACAGCGCGTGGCCTGCAACAACGCACTGGATAGAAGTGGAAAGTGTTCCGACCGTGTGGGCGACGCGTGTGCTGCTCTTTATTCCATGTGGGGGCTTTGACCTTTTGCAGACGCTGCAGCGACTTCCGCGGCTGGCAATTGGCAGTCCCTCTGTTGACAGTGACAGAGGCCGTCATGTGGCACAGATGAAGTAGAGGCTGTGCCACAACGTACAGTTCCCGTCACTTTTGCCGCGAACAACAGCAGTCGATGGGTGTCGACATCATCGTCTCGGCACTGCAGTGGCGCGACCGCTGCTGCCGTCTGCAGAATGCGACGATGGATTGTGATGAGCGTGGGGAGGTCAGCAACGTGTGCACAGTCGACTGACTCGCACTGCTTTGCACTGGTCGGTGCATATCGGGACCTCGTGGGGGTCTCGGCCGTCACTGCTTTCAATAGCGTCAACTTCCAGTGGCTGTTTGTTTGGTAAGCCTTTTGGCTGTTTGTAATGAATGGCGAGATGCAAAGGTGAGTGGAAAGAGACTGGAGAGGTGGAGAATGGCCTGGAAAACGAGGAACTGGCAGCTACGGCGACACGTCTGCGTGCCTGAAGGAAGCTCCAAGTCGACGTTGATCTTCTATCCATCCCATCAAAGATGATGAGAGTTCCGAGCGGGAGCTCTTCGAACACGATACATTGAACGAGAGTGGACGTCGACAGAGGATGAGGAAAGCAGTGGGCCAACTGTAACTGTGGCACTCGTCGCAGAAGGGTCACCAGACGCGAGAAGGGATACACATTCTACGCGATGTGATGTGCTCGTTGCTCGACGCATACCACGGACGCCATTGGACCGCTCATAGCGTTCTCTGCAACGTTCCACTTGTTGTTCGCAATGCACACAGTGCCCAGTCCATTTTTGATCTGCGCTCTACGCTGAGGTTTGCCTGACAAATCCCATTGTCATTGACGACAGTGTTTAACGCATGTCTTCTTGACGCATTGAGCCACATGTGGACGAATCGCTATCTGTCAAGTCGTATTGCTCATTCAAGCGGCAACTTGTACCTTTGCGGTTGTGGCACGATGTCGGGGGACGCTCTATTCTGTACATCGTCGGAGACCAAAGCTTACTGGAGGACGTCTTATCGGATGGAGTACTGTCTGTACAAGGAAGGAACGCTTGGTACGTAACTGAGTTGCTTCGTACATGCCGCAGAAATTGCTGTTGAGACAGGATGTCATCTCTTGACCATTCACGCAGTACTTGTGTAAACGTTGTACAGCATCAGGGGCTGTTAATTGGCGATGACCAGCAACTTGGCAACACGAGACTAGTACGTGCTGGGAAAAGGCTTTGGCATCTGTGTATTCGACAAGCAGGGTATCTCCACTCACTCGAGCACACCGTGCAAATGGAGGGAGTGCATGGCATTCATGGAGAATGCTGCATGTGTTCGATCATTAGCAGCGTTGGAGAAGGCTGTCGATGGTAAGATGAAAAGGGTGCGTCGAATGCAGGATCGCCCGGTTCGCACACGTATCGCAAACGACCACAAGACTGTCAAATGAAGCGCTAGGAATGGGTAGGCACTTGCCCGATGGTACGTACGATGAGGCTTGCGGCACCACATGTGATGTATACCTGCAGCTCGTCCACGCACGCAAACTGGACCAATGAGTACAAGACGCGCCTGAGATCATGTCTACCTCGAAGCTTGTCGGAAGCACTTTGACCGAAGTAGTCGGTGGCCGATTCACAGGTGATGACAGTCGCCTGCTTTGTCAAAATCGCATCGACAGCAGCAATCGGGTCATGATGCGGTGACAGTATGAAAGCTGCATTTCCAGTATCATCATCATCGACATGCACAACTTGAATGTGGAACACAAGGCAGCTCCAACACTTGCATGGCTCCACCAAACGCACGATCGTTCACGCCAATCGATGCTAAAAGCGACATGAAGAAAGGATAGAGGTGACTGATCTCCTGTACGCGTAGCTTGAGTCGCCATTTGATGCTGACAGCAAGTCAACAACCACCAACTTTTGGCAACAAGGAGGTGAAGGAACGACTGCACAGGGGCGTCATCCAAAGAAGTCTGTGAGTACCCTCGAACAAAGCAAGACAAGATCTTACACTGGCAATTGCCACGACGTGGCACATGAGATCACAACACCGTTTGTGAAGTATCTGATCATACAGACTGCAGTCTTCACTGACGCAAAGTCTCACTACCGAATCGCTGCCGAATCGCAGAAAACGCCACCTGCTAAGTGTTAGTCACATGACTGGACTTGGAGCAAAGCAGCCGCGATGGACGAGCTGCCACAACAATAATGCCAACTGATTGTGTCTTGGCTCGCGCAAAATTGACGCGGAAGGTAGCAAACGATGTAGCAAAGCGCTCAAAGCCAACCGAATAGCTACAATGGGTTTTCTGGCTGGCAGGAAGTACATGATCACGTTGCTGCTCGACGAGATAGACGCCGTCTTGGAACGGAAATAACTGTACACCACACGTCAAAGACCAGCACAAAAACTTCGAGCTGGTTGTTGCTTCGATCGATAGACCCATCCGGCAGCACTTCCGTGTGAAACTAGACAGCACTGAGCTTCCATAGCATTCTGAACGTCAACCAGCACGTTGTATGGTAAGCTCGATGATCTATCTGCATACAAACTTGTCGAGCGAGATACGGCGTCACTGTGCAATGGAGAACACGCGTTCTGTTGGTCGGATCTGGTAGCTCTACTCCTTGGCATAGAGTCCCAACTCGTCTTGATGGCAGTCTCCGTGTGACCAATTGAGCTCGCAAGCTTAGTGCCAACATGAGCGATAAGTTCCGTAAGCAAATGGAGCAGAGCAACCAAAAGCATCGATTCCATCGACGACTCCGATCTTTCCTCGTTGTCTCCATCTGTGGGTCTCCACAATATTCGCGGACCGATTGCGCAAAATTGCTCCGTGAACTAGCGGAGTCGACGTCGGATAGGCATCAGGTTTCGTGACACGGTCACTAGCCGAGACGACACGAGACAATGCCGCTGTCTTCGACCAGTAGCATGCTACTCACTAAACGAGCTGACCCGAGCACATTGTCAATGTCAAGACTTGCATCGACTTCGCTGGATGCCCGATCTTCAGCACCAGTCATCGCATAGCCGTACTAGATTATCACTGTCAATCCCAATTTGATAGAGGAATGTGCTCCTGCTTCCATTGCGTTCCCAACAGCTTCATCTCTTGTCAAGGATGTCATCAGAGATGACGCGTACATTTGGTGTCATCAGAGATATCGCATGGACTTGGCATCAAGAGTGCTGATAGTTGTAATCTGCTCGTGAGATTCGCAGGAGTCTGACTCGAGATGCGAGTCCAGTCATTCATAGACGGCATGTGGTCGACGATGCCTGCAAAGTGCTTGCTCACGTAAACACCTTGCTGTCGAGATGATGGCGGATAGCAAGACGGGGTGATGCGAGAACTGGGTAACCTAGCAAGCTGTCTTGTGACGGCTTGGAACATGACACAGGGCTCAGTGGCCAGAAGCTGCTGCTGGTCCGGGTTTTCCACCATCTTGCAGGGTCATCGCCTCCACGTTTCGTGTAATGCATCGTGTAAGACCACCGAGGTGATGAAGGTGATCATTCGGGTGCGCTGAAAGGCGCGCAATTGCTCAGACGCTGGTCATTGTCCAATATGGACAAGCTTGACTGTCCAGGCAGCGCATTACGGACCCACACATGACGCTGCGATTCCTCCACCGACAACCGCATGCATGCGTCCGGATACAACAACTGCGCGACCAGAGATTTCAGTTCCAGCGAGAAATGCGCCGGGAAAAACCATGCAGGGAAGTCGACCTCGTCCGCCGGGTCTTCATCGCTGTACTTGGTGTCGTACGACCACTTGCGGAAACGATCGTAGCGACTGCACATGAGCAAGTCTTTTCCAAATGGCATGCTGCCTGCAGTCAAAGCATACAAGATGATACCGATCGACCACGCATCGGCCTTTGCGCCATCGTACCCTTGGCCAGCGTCCATGAGCACTTCAGGCGCTACGTAGTGGGGGGACCCCACGACCGAGCGCAATCGACGAATCGACGGCTGGTCGACCCCATCAGTTCGACTTGCACTCGCGTTCGCATCCTTATCCGTGTACGCAAAGATCGCCGACAGTCCAAAATCAGCAATTTTCAGCGTCGGGAACTCTTCATTGTCTGCAAGAAGCAAATTCTCGGGCTTGAGGTCGCGGTGGCAAATGCCCGAGTGGTGGCAAAACGCCACGCCCGATACGAGCTGCCGAAAGTACACACGCGCACTTTCCTCGTCGGTGCCGCAATCCAACTTGATGCGGTCAAATAGCTCACCACCGCCAGCGAGCTCGAGCACCAAGAACGTCGTGCATTTACTGTCTTGCACGAGCTCTAGCGCTTCGTCCAGACGCAGCACGTTGTCATGACGTCCTAGCTCCGACATGTTGGATATCTCACGGTGAATAGACCGTCGGGTGCGGGCAAACTTGATAAACTTCGTTGGAATGCGAGGAATCGTGATCAGTTGGTTCTTCACACGCACTTCCTGGTGCAATTCGTCCGCGTCCATCGCTTGCTCTCCAGCCCCTCGCTCGCTGCTTTGACGTAGCTGCTCGCTCCAGATCTCCATGCACTGAGGCAGTGTCAGCTCTCGCACTTGACCCGTGTAGGGGTCTTCCGACGCCGCGATCGCCTGTTTCGACGTCGGATGGATCAGCCACCACACATTCTCCACGCGCATCGGAGCCAACGTCGCACCATTCGATCGCACGCGGTACTGCCTTCCGCCATACGTCTGTCGATCCAGCACCGCCAATCGTCCACCACCTTCATCCTCGGCAGCATCCACTCTTGGCAGCACTGCTACCGGCTTGCCCCGCACCGCCACAAGACATCGCGCGAGCAATGAACTGGGAAACAGCTTGTAGCCAACGGGGTTCAGTATCTTGATGGCCACATGCTGCTTTGTCCGAGTCGACAACGCTTCATACACTCTACAGCCAACGAAAACCACCACAACAACAACCACAGCCGCAACAATATCAGTATCAACAACCACACAAGACGACGTCACCGTTCACCGTTCAATAGCAGCAACAAAAACACTCAAAAGCTCCTCAACTCTCTCTCTCTCTCTCTTCAACGTACACGCCTGCCGCACCCCCCTCCGAGGTACTCTCCGAGCTCATAGATCAACGCCCCGTCACTGTAAATCGCTTGTCCATCGTAGTGGTCCACGTGCCCCGTCGAGCGGTCTCTCGTGCCCCGTCTTTCGTGCCCCATGTTGTCGTTTCGACTGCGTACTTGTGTACCCACTCACTTGCACGTCGCTCGACGGTACGCGTCGAACGCAACGACCCACTCGCACCGAGTGAGGAGATCGAAGAGTGTCGACAGCAATGCAAAAGCGCGTTTAGGTGCAGCTCACCAGCCGCACGTCGGCGCATCTCTCTGTCTGTCTGTGCAGAATCATATGTGAGCGTGGAGCAGTCACGTGGGGTGGCGGTCAGCAGTGGTCGCTATGGCCGCTGTGCCCAAGCGCCGGGTGCAGCCGAACGAAAGTGGAATCAGATGCGGGTAAAAAAGGACCTCGTGAGGCACTCGTTGTCGGCGTCAATGTGTTTTAAACAGCGACAAGCGCGCGTTTGCTTCTGTCGTGCAACAACTGGACGCGGGTAGGGCTTCATTTGACTCGCCGACGTCCTTTTCGACCAATCCTCGTGCGCACGTGCGCCGGAACGCGGAAGACCAGTGCGCAATTGAGCGAATCCCAGGTACGCACTGGCTCTTGCAGTCGCAAACGCGGCTGCAAAACAGCTGTTCTGATAACACGGTTTCGAGATCGTGGGATAGACCGGTCAGTTGACGCACTCCATGCAGCAGCAGCTCGCGATCGATTGGATGGCTGGTGCACACGCACTGATTGGCTGATCCGACATCATCAGATGCGACCTACCCCTGATACGTTCTCAGTCTTCATCTGAGAACGCGAGCCACGCGCACGTCGGATCAGGTCACACTGTCCGCGTGACGATCGCCAGCTGCAACGTGTGGGGGAGGATCCAGTGACAAAACACTAATGAAGCTGCTGCTCGAAGGCGTGACGCTCACGGACGCCACCGACAGGACTGTCCAGGGCGACGCGCTCGGTCAGGACGGCAAAGTGCTCGCGCTGTACTTTGCCGCGAACTGGTGCTCGGACTGCGTGGCGTTCCAACCGGTACTAAACCGGTTTTATGACGTGGTTCACGACCAGATGGACGTTGTGTTTGTCAGCTCGGACAAGTCAAGGGCGAGTCAGCGATCGTACTTAAGCGAGATGCCCCGCCAATGGTGGATGGTACCGTTTGACGACGAAGAGACGCGGTCGCAGTTGAAGCGCACGTTTGGCGTCTGTGCAAGCGCTGAGGTGGAGACATTGAGTCCAATCACGCGGAAGAAGGGGATCCCGACGCTCATGGTGATTCGTCCGAATGGGGACATTGTGGACGGGGATGCAGCGGAGACGATTGAGCGGGAGGGTCTGAAGGCTATGGACGCGTGGAAAAAGTAGGCGGGTGGACGGAGACGGCAGACAGACAGCTACTGGGTGGGCGATCTTCGGAGGTGCTGCTGAGACGACGACAGGTGGATCCGGTGGGACGGAGTGGAGGCAGTCTGAGGTTGTTGGATTGGATTGGATCGATTCGGTAGTGTGTGTGGATGGATGCAATGTGCAGCTTTTGCTTTGTGTCTCAGTGGAGAGTTGATACGATGTTGCAGCTGTGTTGAGCTCCCCTCTGGCCATCATGACAGCGTCGTTGTTGTCTTGACGTGCTGCATTTTGCCTTGCAGTGGTCTCGACGGTGCGAGTCTAGGTCGCAACAACCGCTTCAAAAGGGCTTCGACGATGCGAAGCCTAAACGTGATGGGATCGATCGCTGCAAGAACGAGTGCGTTGATGCAGCAACGAACCGTCATCACTCTATGGCTTGGACATGCTTGTAAGAGACCAGAGTGACCGCACTGTCGTCACGCACGAGGAAGTGCGCTGATGAGCTGCGTCCACATGTGTAGCAACACGTTTCGTCGCTGTCTGACTGCAGCCGTTTGCGTACATGGCTTCAATCGGATACAGACGCAAGACACGTGCACCATGCAGCGACACCAGCAACACTGACCCGCGTACCCAAGCAACTCGAGCTCGAACACAAGTGACTCAACTGCCACAACCAGCACGAACGAGTGCATTACTCTTCCACTGAACGCAGCAGCAACCGCTGCACGAGCACAAAAGACCACACAGCAGCGCGCGACCACGTCCGTGGGATTTCGCCACAGTTCTCACCTACAGTACAATTCTCAACGGGCTCTCACGCATCGACAGCAATCACGGCCACATTCGCCGCTTCAGTGTACAGGCAGTTGCCCAGTTCCTCCAACACGTCGCGACTGATCCGATTCTGTCCAGCAGCAACGAGCATCTCATTGTACAGTGCGTTGCCCAGCACGGCAAACATACTGGCAGTGAACCCTTGCGGCATGGCCTGGTCGTCTTTCGTATCGTCCACAGTCGCCAACGTCTGCACGTCGCGCAAGACGACACCCGACGGCAGTCGCGTCGCCTGCAAGAGCGACCGCAGTCCGTCGTCGCGTCTGCGTTGTCGCGTCGTCGCGTCCGCCTGCGGTCTCTGTAGCCGCGCACTTGGCCAGCCACCGTCTTTTTCCACCGGCAGTTCCTTCGAGAGCGCTTGGAACAGCCCATAGAGCGTCTGCAGTCGTTTCCAGACCTCTGCTGCCCGGCGGTCTTCGTCCATCGACAGTTTGGCCACGTGCTCAGTGGTCCGCTTCGTCGGCTGAGGCTCCAGGGCCGCAATCAGCGGCTGCACATCCGAGAAATCGTCCAGACGCTGTCGAAACGAGTCGCGCGCGGACGCGTCGTCCCGGAGACTCGTGTAGGCGACGCTGAGACTCGCACCGAGAGAGCCACCGCCGTCTCCTTCGTCTTCGCTGTCGGAGGGCGACAGCGCACTGCCATTGTCGTGGCCTGTGGGCGCCGGCAGATGCAGTCGCGTGCGCTGAACCGCGCGGCGCAACATGGCGCAGCTGCTTTCGCAGCAGTTTGAAGAGTGAGTGACGTGGGGGGAGAGGGACGACAGGGAGCGGGAAGAGGAGGGGGGACGAGCGGAGAGGAGGGGGGAGAGAATGCATGCGAATGGGCTCTGAGAGAGAAGACCCCCTTTGACTTGTCGTATAAGAGCGGAGAGAGAGAGAGAGAGAGAGAGAGAGAGAGAGAGAGAGAGAGAGAGAGAGAGAGAGAGAGAGAGAGAGAGAGCGAGAGACTGTTGAGGAGGAAGTGGGTGGAAAGTGGTGGATGGATGTGACTGTCGAGGAAGTTGCACCAGTTGTTTCTCTCTCCTCCCGTCACCTGCGACTGTATTGTGTTACGCGGCAGACACAACAACAACAACAACAACAACAACTGTGTGTGTATTTATTTGTGTGTGTGTGTGTGTGTGTGTGTCTCTCTCTCTCTCTCTCTCTCTCGTGGCCGTGTGCTTTGTGACTCGGATGTCAGTTGCTGCCGAGACGAGCGAGTGAGAAGAGACAGCGATGGGATCCACGCAACGCTGAGACGCCCCCGACAACCAGACGATCGCACACGGGCTGCAGTGGCCGCCCTCCATCACCCGATTGCACCTTCAGACGCGGCCGTCGCAATCCACACACAGACGACAGCAACAGCAGTCGTTGCTGTTGTCGTTGGGTGACGACTGCCGCCGTCAACAACAGGCGGTGCGCGTGAGTCGCCGCTCAATACGGGCGGAGCGACTGCCGTCCCACCAGCTGCAAGAGACGCTGCTGCACTTGCTACTCACCGGACCGCTTCGTTCGCTCAGTCTGTCGATCTACACAGCAGATCGCGCTTCTCGACCAGAGATGTACGTCTGCAAAGGATCGCGGGAGATCGACTTTACGTGCCCACGTGTCGGCCGCGAGCACTGAGGCCGCTCGGCGCCATCGCTTCCGCCGGGTTCCCGTCGCCAACGCCGTTGACAAACAGACTGCGACCGGTTGACGGCAGTCGCTGACCGCGCGACAGTCGTCAACGAAAAGCGCTACGACCGCTCACTGTCTGCAAAGCAGTCGATCCACAGGACAACGACGACGACGGATCGACTGCTCCAGAGCGACCGGTGGGAGTCCGGTAGTGCATCTGCTGTGCTGTGCCCCACGAGGCCCATGTACGGGCTCTGTCCCTGGACCCGCTCGACGTGGCGGCTCGTTTCTGCAGTGCGCGACGAGCCTTTCGCGACTGTTGGATCGTTTCAGGCGTTTTATCATTAAGATGTGGCGCGGCAGTAGCAGTGGCAGATGGGCAGCAGCGACTGCTGTTTGGTCGAAACCTGTGCGTTGGCGAGCGGAGCGCCGTTTGCTGCTCCGTCGTCGCGCGTTGCGCTTTCTCTCTCTCTCTCTGTGCGCTTTTAATGGACAGCTCGTCATCGATAGGCAAAGCGCGTGGAGAGATCGCTCTCGACCGACTCCAGCGGTCGACTTTCTCTCTCTCTCTCTCTCTCTCTCTTCTCGTCGACAGGTTCGCCACTTTCGAGTTCGGTCGTTACAGCCGCACGCGCTACTGCGACGACGAGCGTCGCGACGGCCGCGTCGACCACAAGCGCTGCCACAGACACAGGCGCTGCACTGCGCGTGAGCCCTTCGACACCGTTTTCCAAGCGTTTCCTGCCGTCGATCGTCCCCCTCAGTCTGTCTGTCTGTCTTTCTCTCCTCCTCCTCCTCCTCCTCCTCCTCCTCCTCCTCTTCCCTCTCTTCGTCTCCTCTCTATAAACAACGGACCTGCAGACAACAGACCACAGACACAGAGACAGACACAGTCAGTCAGTCAGTCCGTCACTCAATCGACCGACACGACCCGTTCTCCCCCCCCCCACTGAGCGCCTTCGACTCCTCTCGTCGCGTCCCACTCGCTCCAGTCCGTCCGTCAGCCAGCGACTCTCTCGCTCGTCCCATTCCGTCGTTTGCCGTGTACAGCGCACTCCGATGAGCAGAAGCGCCGGCACGTCCGAAGCCATTCGATTGGCGCAGGCGTCCGACTGGAAGGGTCTGCAGCGACTGCTGGAGCGCGATCCGACTGCAGCTACGCACTGTGGGGACCACGGGATGCTGCCGCTCCACTGGGTCTGCACCGTGCGCCACGTGCCGCTGTCGCTCCTTGCGAAGCTGCTACAGGCGCACCCCGCGGGCGTCCAGACGAAGAACGACGGCCACTTGTTGCCGCTCCAGATCGCTATCCGCACAGGCGTTCCCGCTGCGTGTCTTCGCAAGTTGGTACGGGCGTACCCAGAGGCGGTGAGCGAGCGGATGCCGGACGGATCGACGGCGCTGGAGATGGCCGAAGCCAATGGACTCGAAGCGGATAAGCTGAAGGTGCTCTACCGAGCGCGCGACCGGAGCAGTAGTGCTCAGCAAGTGCAGCAGCCGACTGAAGCTGGGGACGACAGCGACGTGAAGGAGCGCGAGAGCGACTTGGGGCGAGTGATGAGCGGTGGACAGGAGGAGGAGGAGGAAGAACAAGAAGGAGAAGAAGAAGAAGTGTCCCGTGTGGCACGAGGGACTGACGAAGGGGACGACAGGGAGGGGAACGACTGGACCGATGGTGCGGGACCGGACCCGTTCGTGGGGAACGTCAGCTTTGACGGGTTTCTGGATGACGGGGACGACGACGGAGAGTCGGATATGGCCGAGGAGAGGTCGACTCTGGAGCCGGGAGACAGTGTCAGTATGATGAGTGAACAGTCATTGAGCGACATGGACGCACTGGACGAGGCGCCACCTGATCAGCTGGTGTCGCCTTCGTCGATCAGCGTGGGCAGTCGAGACGATCTGGGGACTTCTCATAGCCCTCGCTCCTCGTGTGATGCCACGCAGGGTACTCGTCGTGGGCTGTCGTCACGAGGCTTTCAGGACTGGACCCAGCAGCCATCGCGCTTGCAGCAGCGGCACACGACCTCGTCGTTGGCTGGCCAGCTACGTGGCAATGGCGCAGTCACGGAGCGTGGGCAGCGCATCATCGCCTTAGCGATGGCAGTCAACGGGGATGGGCGCAACACGCGAGCAGAAGAGGACGAAGCAGCACCGCGTCGGGGCCACGGTCGGCACTCGTCGCTCCCTGTCATGCTCCATCACGAATATGCCCGACAGAACGCATGCGCTGGCTTCCACGACGAGGCAGATGACATTGACGAACTTGTTGTTGGCAAAGACAACGGGTCTCCTCGTGACAGTATCAGCCCAGGAGGAGGTGTCGTCTGTGCTCAAGTGAACCTGCACGACCGGCTTTTTCACTCTGTCCGCGACTTCCCTCGACGATCCATCACGCGTACTGGATCGCAGAGAAGCTCGCCACCGTTCTTCCGATCGTCACGCGGTCGTGCATCCCACGAGTCGAACATTGATCAGCGTCACGCGGACCTTCGACCGGAGTGGAAGCATGACGATGAGTGCTCGATCTGTCGTGCCAGCTTTGGCATGTTCAAGCACCGCCACCACTGCCGCAATTGTGGCAAATCCATCTGCAGTCAACACAGCGCCGACAAGAAGATATCAATCGAAGCCAAGGGCTTCACTGTCCCGCAGCGTGTGTGTGTCACTTGCTACGCAATGATCGCCCACAGCCGGTCACGTAAGCACGACCTCGAGGTCGCCGAGAACGACCGAGACGACTCGGTACATGGTCCGTGTTCACATCAGCACGTTGCATTGGGAGCTGGTGACGACGACCGCAACGGCGTTCGAAGTGAAGCCCCGTTTCCGTCTGCAACAGCTCCGGTACCTGGTCGAGGGTTTGCCCGCGAAGGTTCACAGAGCCCTACTGTGAGCAATGGAAGTCTCGATGCCTCTCCTGTCACTGGCAGTCAATGGAGCTTTCCAAAGTCAGGTGTCCTCGCTGCAGGTGAAGCGACGGATGGAGCTAGCGAACGGGTTACTCCATTGACTCACGCACATCGACTGAATGGATCGTCACCGCTGTCCGCCTCATCGTTTTCTTCGTCATCCGCTGTCCACGAGCTGCGCGGTTTGCTGGCGTCGCAACAGAAGCAGATCCAGCAGCTCGCGCAGAGCAACTTGCGGATGCAGCAGCAGCTGCTCGAACGAGACCACTTCAAGACCGAGACAATGCAATTCATCAACCAGCTCATGACCCGCGTAGCGATACTGGAGTTGCAGACCGAGTGCAGTCTTCGGATGCACAAACGTCGCAGTGCTGAAACGGGCGAAAGCGAAGACGACGAGGAGTTTCCGCACGACGAGGCCGGGCAATGATCCGGGAATTCGAGTCGCTGAACTCGCAGTATCTCGAGCCAGTCGAGACAGATAACTCGAAGCCATAACGAACCACAAGAACACCGCACCTTCTTGTACCGCTACAATTTTAAACTGTATGAATACGACAACCACTTTGGATGATGATGACTTGCATGTGAGCCCGTGGTCAGTTGACGCGCCACACCTTTTTCGTACTCACCTCTCACTCGGACCAGCTATGAAAACGTACTGAAATAACCACACCACAGCGTTTATTTTAGCCAAAGCAAAGACGAAAGAGATAAAACTGCGGCATCTCTTGGATCAAACAACATCGCAGCCTTTTCCTTTTATCTCGTCCGGTGGATGATCCGGCAGCAACACTGTAGCGCGACTACGCTAACTCCCGCTTCTTGTCGCAGACTCCAGCGCATCTGCATCCGCGTCAGGCGTTCCTTGATCCTGTCTTAGTGCTTGTCCTGGTCGTTGCCGCTCGAGACGGCGTCGTGCGTCGCGTGCTCTTTGCCATGGGACGACGGGCCTGACGTGACGGCGTCCACGACGAGGTACACGCCGAAGATGGCAGAGGCCAAGCCGAGACCGGTGAAGGGTTTCTTGGCGCAGTTGGCGATGAAGGGGTGGCTGCGCCAGGCGTCTTGATGCGCGAGGACCATTGTCGGATATTATCTCGATTCTTTCCAGGCGGGCGGCGTGGCGACGATGCAATGAATTCTGAGGCGGGTAAGGCGCACAGTGAATGCGTTGAGCACAAAGTTGCTCCATCAGTCACCCAGCTGGCCAGTTGGTTGAGTCAATGTTGCTTATCGGCAACTGCAGCTCACTCGTTTCTAAACGCGCCTGCATTCCGTTTCCATGCAGCAGCCGGTCGATCGGTACCAGCATAGCGGTACGCACGATAGAAATCGCGCGCGTCACAGACTGCACGACTGACAAGCGTGTGCAACAACTGGACACCATGCAGGACAAGACACCGGCGCGGAAGGGCGCAGGCGTGGCCAATGTCGTGCGGCAGACGTGGGACCGCGCGCACTACGAGCAGCTCGCCAAGCTCCGTGCCGACGGTCAATTGGAAAAAGAAGAGGTGCGTCTATGTGTGTGCGCGTCGCTTGTTTCTATCATCTCGGACTCGTGCACGTGCTATACGCGTGCGGTATACACTGACGGACGGACGGACTGACTGACTGACTATTCACTGTTTACTGTAGCCAAAGAATGTGATTACGTCCTCGAAGGAGGAGTTCCAGTCAGCAAGCGAAGGAGCTGCAGGGCCGGCAGGGTCAGCACGTGCGTTTCTAAAGGCTCGGAGTTCCAAGATCTCGCTCGAGAATAGTATCGGTACCGTCAAAGTGGTCAAGTCGGACGACGTAAGCAAGAGCAGCGGCTACTACTGCGAGGTCTGTGAGTGCAGTCTCAAGGACTCGGTGGCCTACCTGGACCACATCAATGGCAAAAAACGTACAGTATCGCTCAAGTCCAAGTGCTTGTCGTTTGTTATTGATGATGTGATGTACTTGACTATCGGTACTAAGTGTTGCAATGATGCTGGTGCTGTGTTGTTTTGTACGTGGTTTGACTGTACGTGCATGCAGATTTGCGCAAGCTCGGGTACAGCATGCGCGTGGAGCGGTCGACGGTAGACCAAGTGAAAAATCGACTACAGAGCGCGTCGAAACGCAAGTGGGACCCTGTGATGACCAAGAAGTTGGATGCTATGGAAGGTGCGTGTTATGGTCCGAGACGTCTTTGATGTAGGAGTGGTGCGCGATGGTTCGGTCGATGCTCATTGACGATGGACTTGTGGTACATGCACACTGTGATGGACATCGGAATGCAACCAAACAGATTACGAGAAGCGATTGAAGGCAGTAGAGGAAGAAGAAGCTCGAGTCAAGCGACGGAAGAGCGAGCAGAAGAAGGCAAAGAAGCTGGGGAAACTGGTACCTCACTCTAGCCAGGAAGGCACTGATGCTGCAGGTAAGAAGGAAGTTGCGGACGAAGGTCCTGACGCTGAAGTGATGGCAATGATGGGCTTTGGCGGGTTCGGCGGCTCGAGCAAATCGTGAACAGTGCATGCACTAACAATAACAATCGCAACCAAACGCTAGGACTTTAGAGGAGAGCTGTATACATGTATACGAATAGCTGCAGATCGGTCGTGTATAAAATCTCAGAGAACATGGACCAGTGCAGTATTGTCGACCTATCACATGTTGTGATTGGCTGAAATGGACAGCCCGTTCATTCGTTGCGGAAGGCCACATATGCATCGGCCGCAGCACTGACTGACCTATGGCCGGACCACCGCACTTCGACCGCCACCGCTCGGCACTGCCGCCGCGTGGACAACGAAGTCGTCCTCACAGTAGGGCTCACCAAGACCACGCTCCGAGCTCGACGTTGTTGCTGCGCGCTTTGCCGCGCACCGTGAACGACGAAATGGTACCGTGCGTGTGTCTCTATTGACAAAACCGCAGTGGAATGGGTACAAGTAGGCTGCACTGTGATTCGCACAAGTGGTTCGCTGTGGTTGCCCACACCAAATAGCACCTCATGGTGTCACATACCAATTGACCGTCGCGACTGCTCTTGACCGTTTGTGTGGCTCCAGATTCTGAGCGCGTTGCAACGTTTTCGACCGTTACACGCTCGAGTGGTGTACGATGAGGTGCTCAGCATATCGCATTGCTTGGTCTATGCGATGTACGGCACATGTTGAGTGTTTTCGTTGCTCTGTTGAAGGTTTCTGGAGACTCTCGTGGGTTCGCCTACGTGGACTTTGAGTCGGTGGAAAATGCCATGGACGCCATGCGTGCTTTTGGTACGCTTCCGCTACTTTGGTTTACGTTAATGCAGAGCTGACAAGGACCTAATTGTGTCTACAGAAGTAGAGGCTCTGGTGCTAGAGGATCGTGCAGTGGACGTCAAGTACACGGACGGGTGTCGTCGGGACGCTGACTCTGGTCGACCGAAAGGCTTGACTGCAGGCTCTCGACACCAGACACCACACTATGAAAGTCAGCGCCAAGAAGAAGAAGAAGAAGAAGGAAGCTGGCAACCGCGGTCAGACTGGATGTGCGACGATGTGAGTCATTCCTGCGATCGGTCTTTGGTTGTAGATCATTGAGTGACGTGCTTGTCATGGCAGTGCAATGTGACGAACTGGGCTCGTCGAGCAAGCTGTGTTCAGTGCAAAGCACCTAAGACAGCTCGTACAAAAGATGTTCCGGAAACGGCAGCATATCGAGCGGAGCACATGCGGGGTCGTGACAATTCTTACGGCGAAGAAAGATCAGGGAGCAGCAGGTCATTGCTTGGTACTTCGTCAAGGGATAGTGGGCTGGCTTTGCACAGACGAGAAGACCGTGCCAACGGTGGTCTGAGTATCCCTCCATCGCGAGTGCTTGTAGTGCGCATGCTTCCGCCCGCTATTGAAGAAGGCGAGGTGCGTATATGCTCGTGATCTGAGCGTATCGTATCTGACTGGAGTGGACGCTACTATAGCTTCACGTGGCATTCGCGGAGTTCGACGGTGTTCAGGACATCCGTCTCATTCGAGACCGCGTCACGAAGTTATCACGAGGGTTCGGCTTTATCGAGTTCCGCGACGTCGAAGTACGGTCCTGTGCCGTGTTTCTTGCTAGAGCTGTTCTGACGTGCAAATGTGATCGTCATAATGTTGGGTTGTCATTGTGTGAAGGCCGCGACAAACGCCTTGAAGAAATCCGAAGGCTTTACTGTGCAAAACAATCGCGTCGAGATATCGTATGCGCGCGATACTCTCTCCAACAGATCACGCTATTCGCCATACGCGCCTCAAGAGTTGCGCACTGGTAGCTCCTTGGCAGTCACCGCGTTAGAGCAAGCTCAGTGGTCGCTTTCACAGGGACGCGGAGCGGACGTGGCGCAAAATGATCAGGTGAACGCACGTTGCATTTTTTCTGTTTGCCATGCTGGCGACATGTTCGTCCCGGGAGTACGCAACAAGTATCTAATCTTCAAGGTGTCACTTCTCCTGCCACACACATGTGCAACGGCTGCACCATCCGGCTATTTCTGACCATGATCCTCAGCAGAGCAGCGTCGCGGCAGACGTCAGCGCGTTGTTGGATAGCGCTGCAGCTCAAGTGGTTCCTCAGTTCGAAGAACCGAAGAAACCGTGGCCAGCACCGTTCGAGACAGCAGGCGGCAACTACGTGTATGTAGGCGAGAATGGTTTGTACTGGGACCCAGACAGCTTGTTCTACTATGATCCACCTACCAGGGTATACTACAACTCGTTCACAGGCACGTACTACCAGTGCGTGAACCCTGCGAGTTGTGGAGCAGCAGCATTCCAGGAGTTTGTGCCGCCTCTGCCTGTCGACGACGAAGCATACCAAGAAGCATGTACAGCTGTAGCAGTAGCGAACAAGCCAGCGTTGAGCATGTCGCTCAAAAAGGACAAGAAGAAGACTTCAGGTATATCGTTCAGTATCAAGACCACTGCTTTCACCTCGACATCGCTGGCTTCGAGCAAGGCTAGCTCGATGAAGAGCAGTGTCGGTGCGATTCCTGCTGCTGCTGTCAATGTTGCTAGTGGGTTGAAGCGCAAGAGTGCAGGCGATATCGCGAAGTGGTCACAGCGACAGCAAGAAGCAAAGAAAAAGAAGAGTGAAGATGTCGGTAGCACACCTGTCCAGCATCAACAGCAGCTGCGTGGTGGACCGCCAGCTGTTTCGACTGCTGACCGTGGCGAGGCCACAAAGTCTGTGGATTCTTCGCAGCAACGAGCAGCGGCCAGTGCTGTCAATAGCGCTGTGGATTCTGTCATTCATGCGCTGACCGACGTCCCACAAGAAGCACCCATTTGTCTGGTGAGAGGTACCATGACCGATGTTGCGTTAGACGGAGCTGACCTTGTGCCGTGTTTGTTTGTAACGTGTAGCTCTGTAGACGGAAGTTTGGATCTCTAGACATATTGCGCAAACACGAAACGCTGTCCAAGTTGCACATGGCCAACTTGGCTAAGGCGAAAGAGAACAAGCAGCACATCGCTGCACAACAGCGTGAACATGAAATCGAGATGCAGCAGCTTGCCAAGAAACAGCGTCAAGACAAGAACGCGCCATGTTCTGCACCCGTCGGAACAGATCGGTGGAGCGCTACCACTGCAGCTATCAAAGTCGATCCTGAGCCTACTCTGGAGTCCGGCATTGGTGGCAAGATGCTGAAGATGATGGGCTGGAAAAGCGGCGAGGGTCTCGGGAAGCACAACACAGGCATCACTGCTCCAATTGAAGCTACGAGCGGTCGGAGCGATCTAGCCGGTCTGGGATGTAAGGCACCACTTTCAGCCTCGGTAGACCTCTCGGATGCCACCTCGGACAAAGAACGCCGCCAGCGACTGGCTCGTGCTCGGTACGAAGCTGACAGTGCATAAGTCAAGAGTAGAAGAACAGACTTCCTAGAAGCGCGTGACAGCATGCAAGAAATGGGACTGTCGCATATTGCCTTGCATTGTTATCGGAAAAAAAATGTGGCTATCAGCGACCTCCGTTCATCGGCTCCCAGTCATAGCTGCCTGCTGTTCGCTCACTACGTACGGATAGAGGAGGCTGCAAGTCAGAGCAATTTCTGCACAGCGCTCTTGAGCAGTGACTTCTTGTATCCCGAAATCTTCTCGTGGACCTCCTTGCCATGCTTAAAGAAGCGGAACTCCGGGTACGCACCAACCTCGAGCTCGTCCTTGAGCTTCTCCACTTCCGGAACCGACACGTCGAGCTTCGCAAACGTCACTTCAGGGTGCGCTTCCGCCAGACTCACCACCGTGGGTTCAATCTGCGCGCACTTGCCGCACCACGGCGCCATAAAGTCGGCAACGACGGGCTTGCCGCTCTGAATGAGCTCCTGAAACTGCGCCTTTGTCTTGACAAGCGTCAACGCAGCACTTGCTGCCTCGTCGTCGTCCTCAGCCGCCTCTTTGATCGACGAAAAGTACTCGTAGCTACTCGTTGGCGTCGCCTTGATCGTCTTGTCGCCTGGCTGCCAATTGGCAGGACACACTTCGCCGTGCTCTTCGACAAACTGCAGGGCTTTGAGCAGCCGCAGCGTCTCGTCCACGCTGCGCCCAATGGGCATGTTGTTGATCGTAATCTGCTGCAGCACACCCTGTTTGTCCATGATAAAGAGACCGCGGAGCGCCACGCCGTCCTGCTCCACGAGCACGCCGTACTTGGCCGAAATGAGCTTCGTCAGGTCCGAGACAATGGGAATGTCCATCTTGCCCAGTCCGCCCTTCTGCCGCGGCAAGCGCGTCCACGCCAAGTGGCTCTCGGGCGAGTCGCACGACACGGCAATCAATTGCGTGTTCAGCGCGCGAAAGTCCGCCGCGCGGTCGTTGAACGCAATGATCTCGGTCGGACACACGTAGGTAAAGTCTTTGGGGTAGAAAAAGAGCACCACGTATTGCCCCAAATACGAGTCCAGCGTGACGTCGGTAATTTCCCCGTTAACAACTGCTTTCGCGGTGAAGCGAGGGGCCTGTTTCTGCACCCGCGCAGCGACAGGCGGATACTCTATAAACGAATACTCGTCGTCGTCGTCGTCGTCGTCGTCGAACCCCGTGGTGGCGAACGCGCGCGAGGTCGCGGGAGACGGCAACGTGGCCGCACTCGTGTGCCTGGCAACAAACGGAGCAGCGCGTTCGAGCGACGGCACCGTGGCACGCGTCCGCGCCAACGAGACGCGACGGACGATCTGTAGGACTCGCATTATTCGTATTGAGAGGTGAGGGATCGAGCGGATTACTAGGGTTTTTCGAGAAATGAATGGACGGAGGGGAGCGACCGAGCACGAAACGGGGGGGTGGGGCACTGAGGTTTTTTCTTGTGCTCTCTCTCTCTCTCTCTTCTCTCAGTTGTGACATGTCGCAGTGGATGTGATGGGGACTTTCGGTGTCGTTGGGCGCAGCCGCCAACGGACGGTCTGTTTTCTGTACAGATCGCGTCGGACTTTTTGCGGCGCAAACAGGTGCTAGAGACGACGAGAGTGTGTAGGCGATGTTGCGCGAATGTGCACCCGCCCGTTTTGACAGCTTGCGAGCAGGTGCTCGTCGGCGATACTGTAAACATTCAGTTAGTTGCACGCGGAAGTTGTCGTCTCGAATGAGACGTAGAGTGAGTGATCTGCAGCTGCTTCTCACTCCCCCCCCTCTCTCTATCTCTCTCTCTCTCACACTCACCGACGCTTTTAAAACACGAGTAACACGGCGACTACTTCCGCAGGCCGAAAAGACAGAAATAGTTGAATCTGTCTGATTTGACAAGTTCACAGTCTGCAACGGCTATGCAGTGGCGCCCTGCCGCCTCTTTTCCGAATGGTGTCACACTGTAACTCCATACATTCTGATCGCGATATGCAGCGCGTCACTGTGCTGCAATGACACTGAATCGATGAGTCGCACGATCTCGTTAGCGCATTATTGAACGACTCCCATCCCATTCCACAGCATCCACATGTTGATGAAGACAGACAGTCAAATGGGTTCAAAGACTACACAACACCAACGTGGCAGTTGGCCCCATCTAACGTGTACCACACGAACGGAGGAACGCCCCACGCGCCACTTGTTTGCATCACGTCGAGCCGTCACAGCGCTTCTCTCTCTCTCTCTCTCTCTCTCTCTCTCTCTCTCTCTCTCTCCGCCGCCGCCGCCGCCTCTGAGCTCTCCTGCCACTGACTGTACCACGCGACGCGCACCCACAATGGAAGCGCTCCAGGACAAGAAAGTCGACTTCTTCTCGATGGACAACATGAAGCACAACGAAAAGGCCGTCGAGTACGTCCACACGGCCATGTGCGTCGTCGCTGGCTGCATCGCAGGCGTCTCGGGCATGACGGGCCTGCAGGGGTTTGGCTTCCTCGCCCTCGCCGACGTGGTCACGGCCCTGGCGCTCTGGCTCGCGAAGCTCGGCCGGGACGTCCCCGTCTACTTCACCACGAGCACCTTTGCCTTTGTCTTTGCAGGTGTCATGTCCCAGGCGCTGTCTTTCATTCTCTTCTGGACGCTCGCGTACGGGCTCGTGCATATCTATTGACCGCGCCAGTGACCACAGCAGCTGCAGAGCGCGACCGACGCCAGAGACAGACCGCACTCGCAGGTGAGGGGGACCACAAGTAGCTCTTTGCTCGCTGTTCAAGAGATGGACCAGACCACAAGTGCTGCTACAGCTGCCTGCAGACAGATACACACACACACACACACACAAGTGCGGGACTGGTACAAGTAATGTTGCCATATCCCACCCGTGGCAATGACCAGCAGAGGGGAAGGGGGGGGGGCTAATAAACAACGCATGCACAGGAACCGATACACGCGTTGACTGACTGTGCGCTCTGTCGCTCGTCTCTTGCTCATTACTACTTGCCCCTGCTTCCTGCTGCTCTGATCGAGGCAGTCGTTGGCGTGTACCGCTCGTTGACGTCTACTTGGCAGGCGGTGCGGCGTGCACCTTTTGCTGCAGGATCAAAAGCACAGCTTCCAGCATGTTGCGCTTCCCGTCGACAACGGTCTTGAGCTGCTCCGTGTTGTGCTGCAAGAACGCGACTTTCCGGTCCATGAACTGCTCGGCTTTGCCCATCGACTGCTCGACAAAGTACCCCGTGCCGACATCCACCAGCACGTCGTCCGTGCTCGCGAGTTTGCCAGGAATGAACAAAGAGGCCGTGAGCGGCACGAGCACGTCCTTGTGCGAGTCCACCACTGCCGCCATCCTCTGGAGCGCCGTCTTCGACTCGGCGAACCGCAACTGGGCCTCTCGCAGGCCGCTGGAAGACGCCGTGAGCTGCTGCAGCTCCTTCTCGAGCTGCGTCTTGAGCGAACTCAGCTGCTCGAGCGACAGGTCCACGAGGTTCACTTCTTTTGACGTCGCGCTCATGTCGTCGCGTGTGTCGAAAGCCGCCAATCGCTCCTCAACACTCTCACTCTCTCTCTCTCCACTTTCCACTACCACTCAATTACTCCCTCGCGGGCTCTCAAACTCAATCAATTAGTCACTCACTCACCCACTCACTCACTCACTCACTCACTCACTCACTCACTCACTCACTCACTTCGTCAGTCAGCCAGTCAATGCAAATTGAGATCAAGATCGGAATCGACGCTGTCCATGTGGCGCCACTTTAGTGCAATGCCAACCAACGAATAACTGGCAGAAGACGTCTCAGCTGCGTCAGCCGTCGAATAGCGTATTGGTCCACCTCAGCTCCACCTTTCCAGCACTTTCCCTCACCATTGATCGAGTCGCGTCGAGTTGAGCGCAGACGTTTTTCCGACTCGAACACGTTCATGTCAATGTCGGCCTCGATTCCGCCTCCTTTCGTCGTCGCTCTCCCGTGACAAACTGAGCCTTTCAGGAATCTTGCGAGGCGGCAGGACGCCAGCCGTCTCTCGTAGTTGCGACGTCCTTCGTGAAGCTCCTTGTCGCTTATTCACAGATTAGTACTCTGCCATATCCTCATCGTCCTTGTTCGCTCGCTCGTTCGTTCGTCTGTATCCTCTACTGCCACGACTAGCGAGGGCTCTCCGTTTATGAAAGCTGGAGGAGGCCCATGTATCTCATGCTGCTCTGTCGTGTCGCCAACACACGCCCGATATCACGCTTCCTTGCAACCGTGGCACTGTCGCTATCAAGTGAGCACTCTGCGCCGTTTCGCATCACACCACTCCAGCGCTATGCCTTGAAGTCGCCCTCATCCACTGTAGGCGCTTCGTCGTTCCTGTTGCCGTGTGCTAGCCATCAATCGACAAACGTCGTATAGCATCGTGTTCATGATGGGCGCGGGAACGCAGTGCACGTACTTCAAACCATCGTGCTGTGCGGCGTCTTCAGCGACCATTACCCCCTCCCTCATCGTCGTCTAGCTCGTGCGGTAGCACTAACTACAGTTTGTGCGTAAGCACCAACTGCGAATGACCGTCCGCACGACTTCGTTTCTACTTTATCTGCAGACGTTCAACACCGTCACGTCAGACGTACCATCTTCACAACTACCGCGAGCCAAGTTGTTGCAGAGCTCAAGGAGCTTGGAAACGGTGGGCCGCTCCCTTTCCATGTCAGGCCTTAGTGCGAGCGACGATAGACCGCAGCATGATGAAGCGTCATGATGATTCAATGGGTCTGAACGCCTCGAAGCGTACTGGAGACGTTAGAATCAAGAAAACCAATCTGCTACGTATGAACTCGATCTTCATGCGTGGCTCTGCCTACGATGGGCGCTGTTAGCTCGTCGTTATGTAGCGAGTGTAAAGCAGTGTATGTGTACGAAGACGATGTGGTTACTGCCGAGAAGCGAAAGCAAATGAAAAGTTTACGCATTGCACGCCGCCATCAGTTCGTTGGCTCAATCGCAGTGTATCATATTGACACGCCTAACGGCATGGGCGAAATTTGGACCGAAGAAGAGGTAGCGTAGCGGTAGTGAGATCACCTGATTGCCGTGGATGTTGTGTTTCTCCGTAAGCAACTCGTAGCTGGATATTCCTATCGAACTTGCCTCAGCCAGCTCGAAAACGAGTCCATCTCGAACGGCTCATACGTAGAGGAACAGTCTCAATCGATGGTACCTCTTTATCGCGCGGTCAAGCGGCTGCAAAGCGATTGTGAGTACTATGTGTTTGCTATCAACGAGGCATCGGGTTCGCAACAGAAACGTCACCGGATGCGTCAGCTGGGCAGAATCAGCGCGCATCTCGAACGTCAAAGGAGCTCTACAGAGCGTACTGGTGAAGCGGCCGACGCTACCAGGTGTGGCACGTTTACTGACATACCCAGTAGGGCAATGATGGAGGTTGCTGCTACATGATGCCAAACATGCGCTGTCGTTAAGCCGAAGCGTCAGGAAGCAAAGGTGGTGCGCCCAACTGCCATATCGGTTCGTATATGCGCTCGGGATGTCGGTCCCAGTCGTGACTGCAGGAGCTGCGACGTTGCTGACGCCAAATGGAGGTGCACGTGAGGACCCGGACGAGCAGATCAGGTGCACGTCACCACTGCACGTGCCGACTAGCCCCGCTACTTGGCAGTCAAAGTTTGGCTGACCACGCTAGACTTACACTCGCTCCAATCCTTCGTGTTCCAACAAACAGACTGAGAGACCTATCAGATGTCTGACTCCTCCACTCCGTATACATCATCCACCTCCTCATCACACACGCATCAACGCAGCTCGCACGTCAACTTTAGCAAGTGTGGTTGTGGTACTACTGCGCGGTGTGATCCAAATGGTGGTCTAGTGTTTCGACATTCGTGTCATGTGGCTGTATCGCACAGCGGGTGACTAAACTGATGTAAATGCAGAGCACGTGTAGTTGCTTCACGTTTCACTTTGATCGCTTGCACTTCATCTCGGACGTTACATTGTCGATTCGCAGCCAGCCATACCCATCGATCTACAGACGACTGCTGCGAAACTGGCTTAGCTGACACTCGCCACTCGGTAAACATAAAAACACGAAGCTTGCAGATGTCTACTCGACAAATGATACTGGCCTGCACCCCATTCACAAGCGACTATTTGTTATTGTGTGAATACTGTCGCTGGCTTCAGGGACACGCACGCTTTTGATGCTAGCGCACCAGTCGATCCGCCTGTAGCCCATGCACGAAAACGACTGGGTTTTGTGACACACTCGTTTTCGGTGGACAGTTGGATGCATCTCTTCCAGCTTGTAGGTGCAGGTGCTTGCACGCAGATCATCAACCCTTTGAGCAAAGTTGATATCTCACTACATCTTGCTTTACGCGATTCCCGCAGCGATCCACCGACACGCTGTCACTCACATCGCGTCCGCTTCAAGAAGTTGCTGTGTCTGTTCTGCATGATGCAACTGCCTTTAGGCGCTGGTCGTTGCTTCACATTTTGCTCGTTATTGCGCGTACATCGAAGTTTGCATTGCGTCCAGTCTTTTGCCACATCTGTCTAGCTAACTATAATTGTGTCAGTGATCTAAGGACGGTGACCCTGTGGCTACATAGGTTCGCTGCGAAAAGGCGTCGCTGTCAATTCTATTGAAATGAACAGATTCCGTTGTCTTGGTCCACGCAAAATGCTCCTTTCTGCTTCGAAAAGTATGATCCATTGATCGAGTGGTACTAGCGCATTTTTTTATTCACCATTGAACACACACGCGAAAACGCACGTGTTGTGTGGGATTGAATGAGGCCGGGCCTCCGGCACGCTTATCAGTACAAACAGAGCTGTGCTTCTTTTATTATCGGGGCGAAGCGGGGCCTGGATACTTCCGAGAAACCCAATGTTTGGCTTCTGCAGCGAACCGGTCAGATCCACTGCCATCTTCTAGGCGGTCTGTCATATTCGAAAAGACTTTTGAGACAAGGCACTAGCGAACCAAGCTCCGACGCGTTTTGCTTACCGTGTCTAGCAGAACCTCAATCGGTTATATCGTATATGCCGAAACGATACGAGCCCGTTTCATGTCATTGAACCCGGAATGGGTCAATGTGAATATTACCTTGATTGATGACATTCTTTATCATTTACCTTGCCGAGTCAATATAGAGACGATTATAGCTTCGTAGGCAATACCGAGGCTGTTCCACTCATTGTTTGATATAGACCATCGTGTCAACCAATTAAATTACCAAATGCTGCTAGATGCGCGCAACGAGTGGTGAGCAAGAAACTCACATATGAGATTGTAGTTGAATATGGTTAGATTAAGGCATAGATGGTTTATTAAAGAAACATAAATGTATTGAATACAGATCTACTTTTTCCTCAGACAGAGCCATCGAGTTCTGTTTCCTTCAATTGCGCTTCCTCACCACGTGTACGTGACGTTAGAAGAACGAAGCCTTGTGTTAAGTCTACACAAGATCTTGCCAGTCATCTGGCAAGAAGCGTGCCCTGTTACAGCTCCAGCTACATTTCTTGCATCAACACCCGCATATGAGCTTTTTCGCTCTTTCTGTAGAACTTGACGTGTATGTCGTTCACATTATAATCTCGGTATCTCGGCTCCAAGCCACGCCAGACTTTCTTCAGATCCTAAATACTACAAATCTAAATGGTTATTAATTGCTCATACTACACGGTAGCAACCCATCGTTTCGCCTTACCGATCGCAGCAGTTGAAGTAAAAATTGCTGCAGTAGTAAATGTAGCCGCAGTAGTAACAATCGCAGCAGTAGCCAAAAAATCAGCATCGATTGCAGCACCTGTTAATCTAATATGCCGTCCGAGCACAACGATCACGTCATCATATGGACTGTATGTAACGGGGCACCGACGACTACTGGTCAACCAGTACGGAGTTTACTATCACTGAATGTAGTGATAGTCAGTGCCCAGCTAGGTGTAGAACTACAAAGAGGAAGGTAGAACGACTAAGGTGAAAGACTCTAGTCGTAGGAAAAGTAAAATTGTTATTAATATAACTAAGTCCTATAACTCTTGTATCTCTGTTCGTCCTGACTTGATCATACTGATGTAACTAATTGTATGATGACGTCTACTCACCACCCATTGCGCACGTCTAGCAGCGATTGGTGGGTTGATATCATCACGATATCAACCAATGAGTAGACCCTTCGGTCATCTTCAACAATATCATCATGCTCCGTGATATTGTTGAAAGAAAATGCAGCGTACTATTCTTTATTGTCATTTTATCCTTAATGACAATATCATGTAACGGGCTACCCCGTTACACTGTACCTTCTAAAGTTTACTATACGAACCAGAAAAAGCATGATCAAAATGCACTAATTTAACGCGCGCTAGACGAGTTTCGCTCCCTCCCGTTTGGATTTTTGTCAAAATCGTAGTGGATCAAGAAGTAATTTGTACTCTTTCCTGCGATAGCACCGACTACTAGCCTTCTTTAACTTAGTGTACATACACATTTAACACACCA